TAAGACTTGCCTTTGCTCCTCCTCCATCTTCCACCATGATTGTGAGGTTTCTCCAGCCACATGGAACTGTGAGTTTATTAAACTCTTTTCTTTATAAATTACCCAGTTTTGGGTATTTCTTCATAGCAATATGAAAATGGACTAACACAGTCCCCCGATGCAGGGAGGCAACCAGTTCACTCCCCTCTGCTTGGGGTAGGGGAGAGGGGTTGAGAAAAAGAGGGTAAAACCTTTTGTAAACACCCAAGAGTATTTCAAAAATGTCTGGGTTTAGAAATCCTTTCACTTCCAGTGCTTCTCATTCATTTCACTACCTATGACCCAATCCCCTCTCATCTCTTTACTGTCCACTTACCACTGGCCTTTTTGCTTAAAATTGTGACATGGTAATTGCCCCATAAACTGCATACCTCAACATACCTTGGCTTTCCATTGAAACTACTCTCTATAACCCTAATGTGACAGGCAAGCAGTCCAAACCAATGCCATCTTGGCTCCTGCAATTTGTAGTAAGTAACTAAGGTCTGTAACTTCCACCCTACCCAGACAATGTGTAAACTAACTTATCTTGACTTCTGTGAACCACTTAAGTAACAATCGGAATGTCCGAAGTCCCCCGGCCCTTGGAATATCCAAAGCCCCTCACCCTCACCCCTGCCCAGGAGGTTGTTTACAAAATGTCCATAGTCCACTGGCCCTTGGAATGTCCGAAACCCCTCGCCCTCACCCCCTCCCAGGAGGTGGTTTACAGGCATAAAAGGTCTTGACACCCTCCTTTCAGGGCCATGGGTTAGAGAGATGTGAGTCCTCTGCAGCCACCGGCAATAAAGACCCGGTAATTTGGCCTAGTCTGTCTCAGTGGTGATTTCGTGCTAGCGTGGTTACAACATTTGGAGGCCCCAGCGAGATTTTCCATCATCACTCAGACAAAATACCTGGAGTCTCACGCGAGCGGCTGCTCCCACCTCAGGGATCTCTAGGGGAGGCACTCCCTGAGATGTTCCAGGACCCCAAAGTTCCAGCCCTGTGGTGGAAGGGCAACTACCTTGCTGACATTCACCCAAAATTCCTTAGGGTCCCAGAAACCTCCAGAGGTAAGTCGGGTCTGGAAATCGGGGGGCTGGTCCATTAGGAGCCTAAGTCAGGAGACCAGACACAGTCATTAATCTCTGACTAGGCAAGCCTACCGTGAGACATCACTGAAGGCTCGGGTAATTCAGTTTTCGGATGTCTTCTGCAACCTCAGTGTGAGAGAGTGAGCGTGTTTATGTGTGGTCCCACGGTCAGCGGGCTACAGAACCTGTGTGGGCATTCACCCACGGTTCCACGGAGACATCATAGGGTATAATGATGATTCACCTCTGCAGTGACCAGGCCTGGTGTTTATATGGGTACACCTTAGCCAAGACGCTCTGAAACATCCCTTTGGGAATGTGGCCGGGCAGGCATCAGATTGGTCTCCCACGGGGGACACCCACCCTGTGTCTGTCTAACTGTCATGTGGTCCTGTCTATATTGTAGATTCTGTAGTTTTCTGAGGTGCCTATTAACTGATCTGTGGTGGTTTAGGCTTGCCTCACTAAGGCCAGACAATGTTCTCAATTGGTTAAATAACCATTGGTTGCAGGGGACTTTCACTGACTTTATGCCCCTAGAAGTAACTTTATTCTCCTTTCTCTTCCTCTTCCCCTTTCACCATTAGGCCCCTCCTTTTCTCTTTTAAATGTCAGGGAGGCAATTCTGCCCCTGGTGACTCAGTTGTAGCTTTTTCTGGAATCTTAGAAGTCACACTCTAGGGAAGACAAGCAAGGACTCTTTGTCTGCCTAGGGTGAAAAAAAAGAAGAAAAAAGAGAGAGACCACTGTATATTCTGTCAGAAAGTGGTTAAATTTCCTATCCTCACCTGATCTCCAACTTTTGGCATCACCCCTGGTGTTGGGAGGCTCACTGCCACCAACCAGTTGATACTGACTGGAAAAGGTTTTGTGATCTCTATGAGCCATGATGAATTCAAAATTCACACCCAGCTAATTTGCTGGCCCATTTGTTCATTTGTTTTGTCACTCTTCAACCTTCCCTAAGCCCTTTGACTCCAGGGCACATCTAAGGGAAGATCCTACCGAAGTGGTTTTTATCTCCTAAAAGCTTACCATTCACCGCTGTGCTCCCAGGTGGGTGACATCAACCTGCACTCCGGCTGCTTCTGTGCATCTTCTTGCCTCGTGCCAGGGATAGGCCTATCAAGCTTGTTGCCCCCTCCTTACAAAAGCTTGCTACAGACGCATGCTTAAAACCGGTGCTGGAAAGGGCAAGTCACAAGTACAATGCTTTCCAGAACTGAGAGTACCACAAAAGCAAACAGGTCCGGGTAACGACTGGTAGGTTAAAAAAACAAAACAAAACAAAAAACAGATGGGATCGTCTGGTTCCCGGCCCTGCAACTCACTCCAGTGCATGACGGCCAATTTCAAGGCTGGATTTTCAGGCCAATATGGAGTAAAACTAACCCCTCAAAAAACTCTGTACCCTGTTTAAATTGGAGTGGCCATCGTTTGGGGTGGGGTGGCCTGATACGGGGACATATGATCCCAAGGTAACCCAGTCTGTATAGAATGTGGTAACAGGTTCTCCTGGGCACCCAGATCAGTTTCCATACATTGACCAGTGGCTAGGCTTAGTTCAACAGCCCCCTTCATGGCTTGAACGCTGCATAAAACAAGCTGAGTTACAAGTTATGCTGGCAGGCCCTAAGAAAGCCCCTTCTGCACCAGCCATACTTCCCACTCAAGCAAAGAATCAGGAATTACCTCCATCCTACTCAAGGCCCTCTGAACCAGGGCCTCAGCACCCCACCTCCTGGACAGCACCAGTAACAAACCCTTGTCCCTCCTGCACACCTGCAGCAGCGCTCCACACCCACCGGCGGTCCTTCCTCTCTGAGAGGCACCCCCATCAGGAGAAAACAATTAGGGTTGCCCATTCTTTGTTCACATCCCTTTCTCGTCAATTGACTCATATAACTAGAAGGTGATAAAAATTAAAGAAAGGGCCGAACCACTAGGTGAGGGAACAAGCTTTATTAAGAGCAGGGCAAAAGCTGCCAGGCTGCACCCAAAAATTGGTGCGCAGCACCCAAGGTGTGGCAAAAAAATTTTTTATGGCCTGCAAGCCAGCAGATGTATCTGGTGTGAGGGGCTGTGCAGGAGGGGAGGGGCTGGGGAACTGTTGGGTTTAATAGTTCCCAGGAGGGGGTCGTGCTGGGGAACTGCTAAGAGAGTTCCCGAGAGGGGGTGGTGCTGGGAAACTGCTGAGATGGCTAGAGGGGGAGGTTTAAGGACCTGCTGAGATGGAAAGTTCCCCGGGAGGGGGTCATGCTAGGAGGCTGGGGAACTTAAGGCAGCAGTGGGGTTTTAAGATGGAGTAAGTTCTGTCGGAAGGCTTAACATCCCCCGTTCTTTGAGAAGCCCCAGGCTTTGACAGGGCTCTTAGAATCTGTACTCCAGACTCATCACCCCACTTGGGACAACTGCCAACAATTATTCCTGATTCTGTTCACCACAGATGAAAGAGGCAGAATTAGACAGGGCGCCCTGAAAGCCATCATAGGTCCAGGGGGAGGAACAGTAGAAGAGAACTGGGATCGAATTGAAGAGGTTTTTCCCTCTACCCAACCCCAACACTCTGAACACTTTTCACCGGTATCTTTTAGAAGGGGTTAAGGAGGTGTCTAGGAGGCCCATCAACCTCTTCAAGGTAGGGACAGTGACTCGGGGTCCACAGGAGTTGCCGGCTGCTTTCCTAGAACACCTACAAGAGGCGTACGGTACGTATACTCCTAGAGACCCTGAGGCCCCGGAAAATCAACAGTACATTAACTTGGCTGTTGTCTCCCAATCAGCCCCAGATATCAGGAAAAAGTTACAAAAACTACATGGATTCCAGGGAATGAATTTGACCAAATTGCTAGAAATTGCCCAGAAGGTTTTTAATAACAGGGATACTCCTGGAGTCACACAAAACAAAAAAGTTACTAAGGCAGTAACAGCAGCCTTCAGAAAACATGAGTCATTCCACAAGAGCAGGGGGCCTTGCAAAAGGGCCCCTGCGATCCCCGGTCCCCATTAGAAAGAAATCAATGTATGTACTGTAAACAAGAGGGACATTAAAAAATAAGTGCCCTGAGAGAAAAAAACGAGTAACTGCTCAAATTTTTTTTTTTTAAAGTCAGGATTAACCGGGCCAGGGTTCTTATTTGTTAAGCGCCCCCAGAGCGCAGGGTTACTTTAAAGATTGGGGGCAAACCTATCAGTTTTTTAGTAAACAGCGAGGCAGCCCACTCCATCCTTCCTCAGCCTCTGGGACCACTACTCAATAGGAAAACAGTCATCCAGGAGAGACCATGACCAGTTCATGGACCACAAATCGAGTTGTTAAGAAAGGGCACCGTTACCCATTCCTTCTTAGTTCTTCCAGAATGCCCTTACCCTCTATTAGAGTGGGACCTACTTCACAAACTCCGAGCAACCATCTCCTTCTGCAGAAATCAAGCCTGCCTCTCCATGCCCCCTTTTTCCCTCCATATCAAAAGCACCTCAGCAAATCCTCATCACTTGTGCTCTGTCAGAGAGGATCTCTTGCAGGAAGCTTTATCACCGGAAACAAATCAGGAATCAACGTCAAACGTCCTCCGCCAATTGCAGGAGAGTGTACCCGGACTGTGGGCTAAGACCAATCCCCCAGGTCTGGCAGAACACTGTACCCCGGTTGTGGTCTAGCTGTTGGCAACGGCAGCTCCGGTCCAGGTATGGCAATACCCAATGAGTCAGGAAGCCAGGCAGGGAATCACTTCACACATAACAAGACTCCTGGAAGGAGGAATTCTCACCACCTGTAAGTCACCCTGGAACACCCCTCTGCTCCCTGTTCTAAAACCTAGCACAAAGGATTACCGGCCAGTACAGGACTTAAGGAAAGTAAATAAAAGATAAAAGGTTACTTACCTGGGCTACATCATAGAAAAGGGCAACCGGGCACTGGCGCCCAGCCGAGTCCAAGCAGTACTGCAGAGACCCACCCCTACCACAAAATGCTAAGTTCGGGAGTTCCTTGGGATGGTAGGGAACTGTAGGCTACGGATTTTAGGTTCTGCTGAAATAGCCAAGCCACTATATGCCTGCACAGGAGGGAATCAACCCCTAATTTGGACAGTAGTAGAACAACAGGCTTTTAATAAAGCCGCTCTGACCTCGGCCCCAGTCCTGGCCTTGCCAGATATTTCTAAACCCTTCCGATTGCTTGTACATAAAAAACAACGAATCACGAAGAGGGTGTTCACCCAGGTATTAGGATGATGGTCCAGGCCAGTCGCCTACCTATCAAAAAAACTTGATCCTGTAGCCTCTGGGTAGTCAGCCTGCCTTCGGTCTGTGGCAGCAACAGCCCTGTTAGTAAAAGAAGTGAACAAACTGACTCAGGAGCAGGAATTAAACCTAGTAGCACCCCATGCAGTAGAATCACTACTCCACGGGGCTCCAGGAAGGTGGCTGTCTAATGCCCGCATAGCACAGTATTAGGCTCTTCTCTTGGACCAGCCCTGCATCAAGTTCCTGAAGACTACAGTCGTAAATCTGGCCTAAAGTTCCTAAAGTCCCTGAAGACTATAGTAAATCCGGCCTAACGTTCCTGAAGACTACAGTGAATCCGGCCTAAAGTTCCTGAAGACTACAGTAAATCCGGCCTAAAGTTCCTGAAGACTACAGTGAATCCGGCCTAAAGTCCCTGAAGACTACAGTGAATCCGGCCTAACATTCCTGAAGACTACAGTGAATCCGGCCTAAAGTCCCTGAAGACTACAGTGAATCCGGCCTAAAGTCCCTGAAGACTACAGTGAATCCGGCCTAAAGTCCCTGAAGACTACAGTAAATCCGGCCTAACGCTCCTGAAGACTACAGTGAATCCGGCCTAAAGTCCCTGAAGACTACAGTGAATCCGGCCTAAAGTTCCTGAAGACTACAGTGAATCCGGCCTAAAGTCCCTAAAGACTACAGTGAATCCGGCCTAACGCTCCTGAAGACTACAGTGAATCCGGCCTAACGCTCCTGAAGACTACAGTGAATCCGGCCTAAAGTCCCTGAAGACTACAGTGAATCTGGCCTAAAGTTCCTGAAGACTACAGTGAATCCGGCCTAAAGTCCCTAAAGACTACAGTGAATCCGGCCTAACGCTCCTGAAGACTACAGTGAATCCGGCCTAACGCTACTGAAGACTACAGTGAATCCGGCCTAAAGTTCCTGAAGACTACAGTGAATCCGGCGTAACGCTCCTGAAGACTACAGTGAATCCGGCCTAACGCTCCTGAAGACTACAGTGAATCCGGCCTAACGCTCCTGAAGACTACAGTGAATCCGGCCTAAAGTTCCTGAAGACTACAGTGAATCCGGCCTAACGCTCCTGAAGACTACAGTGAATCCGGCCTAACGCTCCTGAAGACTACAGTGAATCCGGCCTAAAGTTCCTGAAGACTACAGTGAATCCGGCCTAACGCTCCTGAAGACTACAGTGAATCCGGCCTAACGCTCCTGAAGACTACAGTGAATCCGGCCTAACGCTCCTGAAGACTACAGTGAATCCGGCCTAAAGTTCCTGAAGACTACAGTGAATCCGGCCTAAAGTTCCTGAAGACTACAGTGAATCCGGCCTAACGCTCCTGAAGACTACAGTGAATCCGGCCTAACGCTCCTGAAGACTACAGTGAATCCGGCCTAACGCTCCTGAAGACTACAGTGAATCCGGCCTAAAGTTCCTGAAGACTACAGTGAATCCGGCCTAACGCTCCTGAAGACTACAGTGAATCCGGCCTAACGCTCCTGAAGACTACAGTGAATCCGGCCTAACGCTCCTGAAGACTACAGTGAATCCGGCCTAACGCTCCTGAAGACTACAGTGAATCCGGCCTAAAGTTCCTGAAGACTACAGTAAATCCGGCCTAATGCTCCTGAAGACTTCAGTTGTAAATCCGGCTCACTGACGCCTAATAGTGAGCCAGAAGAACCCATACATGACTGTCAACAAATAATAGATGTCATCCAAACCGATCAACTGGACCTCACCGACGTTCCCTTATGGAACCCGGAAGAGGTACTGTATACCGGTGGCAGCAGTTTTATGCTCAACGGAGTGAGGTATGCGGGGGCAGCAGTAGTCACCCTAGAGCAGGTCATCTGGGCCCAGGCCCTTCCTCATGGGACTTCAGCCCAAAAGGCTAAACTTATGGCCCTGATAAAAGCCTTAAACTGGGCAGAAGGAAGGACTGTCACTATTTATACTGACAGCCCTTATGCCTTTGCTACAGCTCATGTACGTAGAGCAATATATAAAGAAAAAGAACTACTTACGTCAGAAGAAAAAGCTATTAAAAATAAAGAGGAAATTCTAGCCTTGCTGGAGGCTACATGGAAGCCTAAGACTGTGGCACTAGTCCACTGCAAGGGACACCGAAAGGGGGATTCACCAGAGGCAAGGGAAGACAGGGCTGCTGACCCTCCTTGTAACCCTGCCCGCCCAGTTCTGCCCCTTCCTCCCACGTACTCCTCAGGTGAGAAGAACTTTGCAAAGGAATGGGGTGCCGCACAGGGCTCCACAGGATGGTGAATACTGCCAGACCAAAAAATTGTGGTCCCCAAGGCTCTAGGATGGGCTCTAGTTAAAAACACACACCAGACCACTCACTTAAAACAAACCAGACTAACGGAACTGCTAAAAGCCAAGTATTACATTCCCATTTACATAAACTTATCAAGAAAGTAGCTACTCAGTGTAATGTATGTGCCCGAGTAAATCCGGAAAAAAACAGGTCTAGCCAGGTAAAAGTAAAACTCAAAGGAACTAGTCCTAAAAAGCACTACTAAGTAGATTTCACTGAAATAAAACCCCTAGTAAATGACTATAAATACCTCCTGGTGTTTATAAATACGTTCTCTAAATGGGTCAAAGCCTTCCCCACTAAGTCTGAGACTGCTTTAGTTGTCACAAAAAAACTATTACAAAACATTGTTCCTCTGGGTTCGGCCTCCCTCTAATGCTAGGGTCAGACAATAGGCCCACCTTTACTGCACGAATTTCTCAGGGCCTCGCCAAGGCCCTGGATATATCCTAGAAATTACACTGTGCCTATCGTCCCCAAAGTTCAGGACAGGTCAAACGAATAAACCGGACCCTAAAAGAAACCCTAACAAAGTTTATCCTAGAGAACAGTGAAAACTGGGTCAGCCTGCTTCCTTTTGTCCTCCTCCGCATCGAAAGCACACCCTATCAGAAAGGCTTCTCCCCTTTTAAAATCATGTTTGGCAGGCCCCCTCCCTTACTCCCCAGACCCGTGGATACCGCGCATGCTAAAGTGCATAACTATACACTCCTTAAGTCCTTACAGGCACTTCAGTCTATTCAATCCCAGTTACACCAGCTCATTAAAGACACCCGTCCCACCCCAATAAACCTCGCAGACCAGCCGACACACCCCTTACAGCCTGGAAACTCTGTCCTTGTGAAAATTCGCCACCTCTGGCCTCATCCCCTCCTCCACCCCCCGGCAAAGTTGAAAGGGACCCTACACGGTTATCCTGACCACACCCATCGCACTCAAGGTGGACAAATGCCTAAATTCATCACACCCACGTCAAGGCTGCCCCACCAGAAAGATAACAGAGCGTCAAACACTCATCCCTCGATTCACTAAAACTAAAACTTGTGCGCTCTTCGTGCTCACCGCCCTGGCCACCCCAATCCGTCCTGTAAATCCCTATCGTCATCCCTTTACTGGTTAAATTAGGCATTGCTGGCTCCACTGCAGTTGGAATATCAGCTCGTGTATCTGGGGACCAAAATTTTAAAACTCTCTCTCAGCACGTAAATACTGATTTAAGGCACTTAAAAAACTCCATTTTCCAACTCAATGATCCGGTTAAGTCGTTGGCTAAAATGGTCCTCCAAAACAGGCAAGGACTAATTTCATTATTTTCAAAACAAGGGGGATTATGTGCCACCTTTAACAAACAATGTTGCTTCTATGCTAATAGGTCAGGCCTCATCTGAGAGAGAGCCTCTCCCTGGTCAAACAAAATCTCTAAACCAGAAAACAACTTCAAAAGGCTTCAAAAAGTTGATAACAAAAAACTGTTTTCCTGGGCCCCTTGGCTCACTTCCCTCCTCACGAGCCTGGTGGGACCTCTGGCCCTATGCCTACTGGGACTCATGTTCTGCCCCTGCCTCCTAAATCAACTCTCAGGTTCATTAAATCTAAGGTAAACTCTGTAAAATTAATTATTATTAAGGTTTCAATATAGGCCCTTAAAACAAACAAACAATACTCACCTGCTGGAGGAATAAATGATTTAATTACTGTAAATAAAACAAGGGGGGAATGTGACACGGTAATTACCACATAAACTGCATACCTCGGCCATACCTCGGCTTTCCGTTGAAATTGCTCTCTGTAACCCTAATGTGACAGGCAAGCAATCCAAACCAACGTCACCTTGGCCCCTGCGACTTGTAATAAGTAACTAAGGTCTGTAACTCCCACCCTACCCAGACGATGTGTAAACTAACGCTTATCTTGACTTCTGTGAACCACTTAATCGACAATTGGAATGTCCAAAGTCCCCTGGCCCTCAGAATGTCCAAAGCCCCTCACCCTCACCGCCCTCCCTCCTCCGCCCCGCCAAGGGGGTGGTTTACAAAATGTCCATAGTCCACTGGCCCTCGGAATGTCCGAAGTCCCTCGCTCTCGCCCCCCGCCAGGAGGTGGTTTACTGGCTTAAAAGGTCTTAACACCGTCCTTTCGGGCCGCGGGTTAGAGAGATACGAGTCCTCCGCCGCCAGCAATAAAGACCCTGTAATTTAGCCTAGTCTTTGTCTCAGTGGTAATTTCGCGTTCACTCGGTTACAACAAAATGACCCCAAATCCTCAAAAAATTAAAGTTCCACTGTTTATTATAATTGGAAATTTTATGTCTGTTGTCACTGAGCAGATGGTCTAATGACTCCAAGGCACTAGTTTCAGAAATCGCACACTGCAAACAATTTTCACACAAAAATGTTTTAAAAGGCTATCAGGTACGGGGCTGATTGTAAGTAGGATCGAACCTAAGAATTATGCCATAGTGCCTGACTTTGTAAAGATAATAGCAGAGAGTAATATGGGTCAGTAGCAAGGGATGGAGAAAACAGTGCTCAAAACGAGGTACGTTCAGTGTGCTCTTTTCATCGTGTGTGATCCAATGGCTGAATAGCAGATAGGAAACAGGATTCAAGGTCTGAAGCACGGTCTGGATCTATTGACACTGGGTGTCATTTTATCTCTTGCTGGGGTACACATTTGCTTCTGGATTTAAGTAACGTGCGTTATAATGATTTAAGGACTACAAAACCACAAGGTTATGAGAGCGTAAAACATAGAGCGTGTAAGCAAAAGCCTAGAAAAACGCAACGCGGTAGGACAGGAGCAAGGCACAAAGACAAGAGCCACAACAAGAGACGCGCGCCACGCTTTCCAGACTCCCGGCAGCCTTTGCGCAGCCTGCCCGCAGCCCCTCGGGCGGCCCGGGGCGGGGCCTGGACCTCGCGCTCGCATCACGCCCCCTCCGTACCTGCTCTCAGCTCGCCTTCCGCCCCGAATATGCGCATGCGCTATTCGCACTTAGCAGTCCTGAAAACGCTCCGGATGGCCGACTCCGAGACCCTGGCGAGAGGCCTCAGAGTTTGCCTTCTTACCTGCTCGGCATAGGCCGCAGTCTCCTGCTACTCCCGCCTCCCTCAGGCACTCTGGCCGCGAGAATGGAGGAGCCGGGAAGAGAGTACGGTTCTGATTGGAGAACCTGCGTGTTTACATTCCTACTTCTCCCGGGGAGTGGACGAATTTAGCCCGCCTCTTCCTTCCCGTTGTTTAAGGTAGTTGGTTGCCCTCCTGTCCGTCAGAGGTGCACCCGCAGGTGGCGTGTCGCCGTCTTCCCATTTGCTTTGCTGGGTGACTCAGTTTGGTTGTGGGCTGCGAGAGTGCCTTGAGCTTTTCGGTGGAAGATGCCGGACAGTAACTTCGCAGAGCGCAGCGAGGAGCAGGTGTCTGGTGCTAAAGTCATCGCCCAGGCCCTGAAAACGCAAGTACGGTGAACCCTCCTGGAATGAAAGGCTCCTACGGAAGCTGGCGGGGACCGCGATGTTGTCTTGGAGACGAGTAGAACTGGGCGATAGGAGTCTGGGGATTTCCTTTTAGCGCCTGAAAGAGAGGGAAGGATGTGGCGATGTAGTGGGGCCCTGGGAGTTTATTCCCCTGTTCTTCGTCCCTCAGGATGTGGAATACATATTTGGCATCGTAGGCATCCCAGTAACCGAAATCGCCATTGCTGCCCAGCAGCTAGGCATCAAGTACATTGGAATGAGGAACGAGCAAGCGGTGAGTATGGGCGCAGGTGGTTGAATCCGTTACTGGGAATGATCAGTAATAGCGGTAGATATGCATTGCGAACACTCAGTATTTACCAGTCTTTTGCTGCTTTACACATATCAATCACTGCTGAAAATTAGCTGTTGTTAAACCTAGTTGACAGATGAGAAAAGACATACAACTTGCCTTTGGTGACACAGCTGGTAGTAGCAGAGGCAGGGTTTGAACCCACGTATTCTGGGTCTGAGTCCATGCTCTTACTACTATACTGTATGTCGCGATTGGAAGGAACAGTTTCAGGGTAAAGTCTGACTTCTCTATTAGGCTACGAGCTCCATGAGAGCAGGGATATTATTTCTTCAGGACACATCTGTACCCCCAGTGCTAAGTATGGTGCCTGCATAAGAAAGGTGTTCAGAGATTACCTGTGGGATGAATGAGTGAAGGCAAAGTCTGTTGCATGATCGGTTTGGGGCAGGTTGGAGGATATTACAAATGGTTAAGTCTTGATGAAAACTCAGGTGTCTCAGATCCTAGCCTAGCTCTCTTTCCACCGCATCATGCTGCCACCTTTCTTAGAGGCTTATTTGGAAGCAGGATAAGGAAGGTATGGCATTTTGTTAATCCACTTAAAGTGCATCGTCTGCCAATCCAGCTTTGCCCTTCTCGGTAGTGCTGGCTTAAAAGATCAAGAATCCACTTGTGTGATATCACATACTGTCAGTCCAGCTGAGGCTAAGTATTCCTGCTTTACAATCCCACTGTTGCCTTCTAATTTAGATTCTTGCTTCCTCTTGCCCAGACAGTGGCCTTTGCCTCCTTAAGTGGTGCCTTTTGCCATCAGATGTGAGTGCCTGGAGGGCAGAAGTTGTGTGGGTTTTTTTTTTTTTTTTGAGATGGAGTCTCACTCTCACAGGCTGGAGTGCTGTGGTGCCATCTTGGCTCACTGTAACCTCTGCCTCCTGGGTTCAAGCAATTCTTCTGCCTCAGCCTCCTGAGTAGCTGGGACTACAGGCACATGCCACTATTATACATTACTTATTCATTGAATGATATTATTTTTCTACAAAGTTTGAGATTTATATTTTTTATCTTAAAACTAGCAGGTCTTGAGTTTCTGTTGCTTCTACGTTTTACTTTTCTTTGTTAGAATAATATTCTATTCTTATATCTGTGTGAGAAAATGAAGCTATTGGCCTCTAAATGGAACCTATATTTAACTGGTTTTCTAGAGATGATATATCTGCCACTGATTTCTTCATACAGGAAATATTTGTTGACTAAGTAGTGTATACTAAAGATTGTGCTATGTAACCTGTAGGAGAGAGAGATGTAAAGAAAAAACTCATCAATTATAACTCTCACAACAGATTTAGTAGCACAGAAGGGGTGACTGATTCTCTTTGAGGGCGGAGAAGATTGCCTGTAGAGATAATGTTAGTTCATGTGGTTCCATCAATGTAGGTAAAGGCATGGTGAGCTGTGAGGCTGGTAGGTAGGCTGAAGGGAGGTTGTGGAGAATCTAGAAAGAGTTTGAACTTTTTTTTTTTTTTACAGTAGGCAATGGTGGAGACTAAAGATTTTTCTTAACAGGTGGGAGATGTAATTAGGCTTGTACTTCAGAAAGATGATGCCAGGCATGGTGGTACACGCTGGTAATCCCAGCTACTTAGGAGGCTGAGGCAGGAGGATTACTCAAGTCCAGGAGTTAGAAGCTGCCTGGGCAACATAGCACGACCTCTGTCTCTAAGTTGTATTTCAGCCCTTGTGAGCTGGGGCAAGGGATTTTAGGTCCCATGTGCTATGTTGGATGCTGGATACAGAGGTGAATGATAGTCTGTTCCTGGCTTTAAGGGGCTTACAACCTAGCTGTGGAGACAGACACAAACAATTGTATTATAATGTGGTAAGTGTTGTAATAGAAAGATACCCAGGGTGCTACAAAGCCTAGAGAAGGAGTACCCCACTCAGCTTCCCACAGGAGATGATATCTGAGCTGTCCTGAAGGATGAGCAGGCATTAGGAAGGAGAAGGGCGGCTCCTCTGGAGATGATTCCTAGATTTTGGGCCTACTTGATTGTGTGGATCATAGTTTCTGTGACTGAGACTGGGAATATAGAGGGAAGAGCCAATTTGGAGGAGAAAGGTGATGTTCAGTTTGGAACACATGCATTTGAGATTCTGGTGGACCATCCCAGTGCATATATTCCTCAGGCTTAGGCAGCCTGACTTTTTTTTTTTTTTTGAGATGGAGTTTCGCTCTTGTTACCCAGGCTGGAGTGCAATGGCGCGATCTCGGCTCACTGCAACCTTCGCCTCCTGGGTTCAGGCAAGTCTCCTGCCTCAGCCTCCTGAGTAGCTGGGATTATGGTCATGCGCCACCATGCCCAGCTAATTTTTTGTATTTTTAGTAGAGATGGGGTTTCACCATGTTGACCAGGATGGTCTCGATCTCTTGACCTCGTGATCCACCCGCCTCGGCCTCCCAAAGCACTGGGATTACAGGTTTGAGCCACTGCACCCGGCTTTTTTTTTTTTTTTTTTTTAATTTCAAAACAGAGTTTTGCTCTTGTTGCTCAGGCTGGAGTGCAATGGCACAATCTCGGCTCACTGCAACCTCCGCCTCCCGGGTTCAAGTGATTCTCTTGCTTCAGCCTCCTGAGTAGCTGGGATTACAGGTGCCTGCCATAATGCCTGGCTAATTTTTTGTATTTTTAGTAGAGACAGGGGTTCACCATGTTGGCCAGGATGATGTCCACCTGCCTTGGGCTCCCAAAGTGCTGGGATTACAGGCATGAGTCGCCACACCTGGCCCAGCCTGACTTTGTGGTAGTCAAAGGAAAACTTAAATGGGGCCTGAACTAAAGGAAGTGACAGAATTATTCAGAGGGAACATAAAAACAGCCTAAGGCATTTGGGAGCATGTTTGTGCTAAAGGGAAAGATGTAGTTGGTTGGATTTGATTATGTTTGATTAGATCTTTTGTGTAATCAAGACATATTGATCAATTGGCCAGCAAGTAGGCAGACTGGCAGCAAGTTAATTGTTCTTGAGAGCTTACTGTGTATGAGGACTATTCTGAGTGTTTTACACATATAAACGGATTTCATCCTCACAACAATGCTTTGAATTATTTTCATTTTATAAATGAGGAAACAGAGATGCAGAGCAACTTCCCAAAATTACACAGTAGAAACTAGGGAAGCTGGGATTTAAATCAAAACAGATTGGCTCCAGAATCTGCTCTCTAAGTACTGTGTGCACCATTCTGCCCGTGAATGGAGGTAGTTTAGTATTGAAACAGATTTTTTATGGTCATAAAACTAGTTACCTCTCAACTTTTGACATTTACTACCAAGGAATATACTTTTTGTTACATGTTGTTGTATATTGTGCATTGCCTAGCACCGTTTCTTACCCAGCTATCATAAGTGGGCAACTCTTTTGGGTGTCTAAATAAGTGGTCTTGCATTTCTTAGGAATTGTCTTATTATTGTCCTAATGTGAATTTGGCCTTATATGCAAAAGGGAAGAGAGACAAGGCCGAAAGAGAACAGCAGCACAGGAAAAGAGCAGAGCCTTGGTGCAGCTCCTCAGTGGGCATATGATAGTGGAACCAGTTAAGATTATGATCCATAAACATTCATTTGTTTTTTTACATTTATGTCTTTAATGTGGATTTACTTAAGACAGTATACTACATTTAAAGCTGAATGGAGCCTAGGAAATACCCAATTTATTGTTATTTCTAAAGAAACGAGAAGAAATAATGCTGGGGGAAAAATGATGTCCCAGACTGAGAAGAAGAATTGGAGAGAGCAATCAGCATTTTTCCAGGTTATCTGTTTGCGTTTAATTTAGTGCCCTCTCTCTTCCTGATTGTGAGCTGAAGTAGAATTACAAGGTAAAAACTATTCATGTGCAGGCCATAAAGGGAATCTCAATAAAATGCCAAGGATTGAAAACATGAAGTATATGTAACTTGACCATGTAGAAGTAAAGTGGAACTCAGTAACAGATCACACACACACACACACAAACACCCTCAAATATTTGGAAATTAAGCAACATACTTTTTGGTACTTTGTAAATATTTGAAAAGATTAACAAAATCAATAAACTTCAAGCTACACTGATCGAAATAAAAGAGAAACCAGATTACTAATAAAAGGAGATACCACTGCAGATCCTAATTAACCAGTGGGTCAAAGAAGAAATCACAATGGAAAATAGAAAATATTTTGAATAGAATGATAATGAAAAGATGCAATCTCAGACTTGTAACCTATAACTAAAGCAGTTCTTGGAGGGAATCATTTTAAATCTATTAGTAAAGAAAATTAAAAGCCAATGTTCTGAATTTGTATTTTAAGAAGCTAGAAAAGTAAATCAAATTCAAAATGACTGAAATAATAAATAACAAGAACAGAAATCAGTGAAATGGAAAACAAACAATAGAGAAAACCAACAAAGGCACAAATTTGTTCTTTGAAAAGATGGATAAATTTCATAAACCCCTCATGATACTGATGAAAAATAAAAGAAACAGATTACCAATATCACTAATAAAAGAGGACATTCCTGTTGATCCTGCAGATATTTAAGCAATTGTAACAGGATGTTTTGAATAACATATATATGAACAAATTTCTTGAAAAACTGAAAATTAGATACCTTAATCATTATTTGAAATGTATGTGTGGAACATTTATTACTAAATGGGAAGTGTTTCAATTCTGCCTTTATCATACGTTCTTGTCTCTTATTTAATAGTGAGTTACTCTCATAAATGTACTGTAAGGATCCCAATATGCTCAAGTCCCAGTGTTCTTTCTTTGTAGGCTTGTTATGCTGCCTCTGCGATTGGATATCTGACAGGCAGGTAAACCAAAATCTGTTTCACTTCACTTACTTTGATATTTTGGGATACAACCATTATGTCTTTCAGCTGAAGGATGAGTTCATTTGGAAAGATTATAGAAGAATGTATTAAATAATGAAAGATAAAAAATTTTAAAACTCTCTGAGGGCTACATCAAAAGAATAATGATACCAGAAGTGTTTTGGAGTGGAACACATTGCCATTTTCACTGGTGACCAGATAGTGAGTTGATGTGTCATGCCTTGTCTTGGATCTCACAATTACCCCAGCACACTTAATACAAAAATGCTTGGTTTAAAATGTGACTGCTGGGACCTGTTCGTGCATTCTGATTTTTTTAGTGTGTATCCATGTTACCTAATAACTACTCCCTTTTTATTATTAAAAATTAATACTTTTTTTTTTTTTTTGAGACCGAGTCTCACTCTGTCACCCATGCTGGAGTGCAGTGGCACAATCTTAGCTCACTGCAACATCCACCTTCCGGGTTCAAGCGATTCTCCTGCCTCAGCCTCCGAGTAACTGGTGTTACATGCACATGTCACTGTGCCTGGCTCATTTTTGTATTTTTAGTAGAGATGGGGTTTCACCATCTTGGCCAGGCTGGTCTCAAACTCCTGACCTCGTGATCCACCCACCTCAACCTCCCAAAGTGCTGAGATTACAAGCGTGAGCCACCATGCCTGGCCAATACATTTTAAAAACATACATTCTGGAAAATATAGAAAGCATAAAGAAGAAAATGAAAATCAGCTAGGCGCAGTGGCTCACACCTATAATTTCAGCACTGTGGGAGGCTGAGGCAGGTGGATCACCTGAGTTTAGGAGTTTAAGATCAGCCTGACCAACATAGTGAAACCCTGTCTCTACTAAAAATGCAAAAATCAGCCAGATGTAGCGGTACACACCTGTAATCTCAGCTACATGGGAGACTGAGGGAGGAGAATCAGCTTGAACCCAGGAGATGGAGATTGCAGTGAGCTGAGATTGCATCACTGCACTCCAGCGAGACTGAGTCTCAAAAAAAAAAAAAAGAAAATGAAAATCACCTGTGATCTCACAGCTGTTAAGAATTTGTCATTTTCTTTCAATTTTTCCCCTACATATGTATTTTTTAAGCAGAATTTGGACTCATGGTAATGTGTATCATACTTTTTTATTTATGTTAGCTTTAATACATGTTTTTATTTCCGAAAATGAAACTAGTAATTGAGTTGCCAAGAAATGAAAACTAATAAGATCTCAAAGTCTAGACCTCACCAGAATAGTTTTTTTTTTTGTAATAAGAAACTTGTGAATTTGGGCCTAAAGAGAATGGGTCATCAAGTAACACTATTGTCACTATTTTCTGCCACTCTATTTACATATGACAAATATTTTAATTTTTCATTTAGCTTGGAAAGCATTTATAGTCATTAATTAATATCAATGTAAAAAATGCTAGAATGATGATTAAGAGAATGGTTAAAAGTTCATACTTTGAAAAGTTTTTGCTATTTGAATGAACTTCTGGAACTGCACTGGCAAGTATAGTAGCCACGAGCCGTATGTACCTATTTATATTTAAGTTAATTAAAATTTAATAATATTTAAATTATAGTTTTTCAGTTTGTAGTAGCCACATTTCAAGTGCTCAGTAACCATGTCAGTAGTGGCTACCATATCAGACTGCAATGTAGAACATTTCTATTACTATGCAGAGTTATTGTTGGATAGTACTGTTTTAGAAGTTTAGTTTACTTGGTGATAATTATTTATTTTCAAGTCCATCTTGAACAGAAATTTTTAAGAAATAATTTTATAAACGTAAAATGGCAAACTGAATTATATTGAGATACCTTTTCCCTGAGTGCTTTAAGCTTAGAAAGTCACGCCAAGGATAAAACATTCAAGTTCAATATTTATTTTTATTTGGAGACAGAGGCTTACTCTGTTGCCTCAAGGCTGGAGTGCAGTGGTGCCATCTCTGCTCGCTGCAACCTCTGCCTCCCAGTTTCCAGCAATTCTCATGCCTCGACCTCCCAAATAGCTGGGTCTACAGGTACGTATCACCACACCCAGCTAATTTTTGTATTTTTTTATAGGGACAGGGTTTCACCATGTTGCCCAGGCTGGTCTTGAACTCCTGGACTCAGCCTCTCAGTGTGCTGGGATTACAGATGTCAGCCACCACACCCAGCCTCATGTTCAGTTTTAAAAGATTTTGGGCAGAGCACTGCATTCAGAATTTCCTATCAAAGGTCAGTTGATGCTATATTTATTTATTAAGAAATGGAAAAAACCTTTCATACAAAAATGTACTCAGCAGTCAAAAATTAACATCTGCCATTAACTTGACTTAGGCCAGATGTAGGATCAAAATAAGTGGTTAGTAATATATGTTGTGAAGGTGATAGGCACCTTATTTCTTGCTAGAAAACCAATATAATCTTTCTTTCTTTGGGCCAGGCATGCTGGCTCATGCCCAAAGAAAGAAAGATAATCCCAGCACTTTGGGAGGCCAAGGTAGGCAGATCTCTTGAGCTCAGGAGTTTGAGACCAGCCTGGGCAACATAGTGAAACCCCATCTCTACCAAAAAAAAAAAACAACAAAAAATTAGCTGGGTGTAGTGGCACCCACCTGTAGTCCCAGTTAGTTGGGAGGCTGTGGTGGCAAGATCACCTGAGCCTGGGAGGTTGATTATATATATGCTTTTTTTTTTTTGAGATAGTATCTCACTCTGTTGCCCAGGCTAGAGTCCACAGTGAGCCCTGATTGTGCCACTGGACTCCAGCCTGGGTGACAGAGTGAGATGCTATCTCAAAAAAAAAAAAAAAATACACACACACACACACACACACACACACACACATTTTTAAATTAAAAATATTCTAATAATTGTTTTACCAGTTATAGTAAAGATCTGTATGTCCTTCCTTTGAAGTCCAGGATTGCCGTGTTTCACACTGAAGTGTTATCAATCAGTTGTTAAATTTGGCTTGATGTTAATAAAATATATTCTGTTTTGCTTTTAGGCCAGGAGTCTGCCTTGTTGTTTCTGGCCCAGGTCTCATCCATGCCTTGGGTGGTATGGCAAATGCAAACATGAACTGCTGGTAATCATGTTAATATTACTGAAAACATTTTCTTAAAAAGGTCACTGCAGGATTTTACTGAATAGAGCTAATACTGATCTAGAGTAGAAAGACTTGGGAAAAAAAACACCCTTGAATTCTTAGAAACTGAAAGCAGAAAGTTAGTTACCAGGGAGGGAATGAGGAGGAGGAGGGGAATAGGGAGATAAAGGTCAAAGGGTACTAAGTTTCAGTCAAGCAGGATAAAGCCCAGACATCTAATGTGCAACAAGAAAGCTATAGTTAATAATATTGTGTATTATAAATTTGCTAAGAGAAAAAAGTAACATGAATATGTTAATTTGCTTGACTATAGTAATCATTTCACTACATGTATGTTAAAACATTATATGGTATACCTTAAATATATATATATATAAAAAGAGTATTAGAAAGAAAATTCAAAGCACCACTAATTTATTTCCTTAGAGATAGATACTTTCTTTTTTTTTTTGAGACAGAGTCTCACCCTGTCACCCAGGCTGGAGTGCAGTGTTGAGATCTTGGCTCACCACAACTTCCACCTCCTGGGTTCAAGTGATTCTACTGCCTCAGCCTCCTGAGTAGCTAGGATTATAGGTGCCCGCCACCACGCCTGGCTAATTTTTGTATTTTTAGTAGGGATGAGGTTTCACCATGTTGGTCAGGCTGGTCTCAAACTCCTGACCTCAGGATATCCACCTGCCTTTGCCTCTCAAAGTGCTGGGATTACATGCATGAGCCGCTGCGCCCAGTTGAGATAAATACTTTTAACATTTTTGAGTTTCCTAAAATGTGTGTGTGTGTGTGTATGAATGTGTATGTAGTTCTATGTACTTTAAGTGAAGAATTTTTTTTTTTTAAGATTGTAAAAATGTGGCCAGTTTTTCACCTTGTTTTCCATAGGTAGGAAGGTATTTAAAATTCTTGCATTCATTGAGTTTGCTTTATATGTAGACTACTTAGTATGTATTTTCTGATCTTTCCCTTAACTCTGTCTCTGGCACTTTACCGATGAGATCAGGTTAAAAAGGGTTAGGTTCTAGTCGATTTGAAACATGGGAGGCTGAGGCACGAGAATTGCTTGAACCCAGGAGGCAGAGGTTGCCGTGGGTCGGGATGGCGCCACTGCATTCTAGCCTGGTGTCAGAGCAAGACTCCAGCTCAAAAAAAAACCCAAAATCTTTCTAGTGGAAAGGACATTGTTTTCTTTCTTGCCCTGTGTTTCTTATAGTTTCTTCTGTACTTTGCTATGGTTATTCTCTTCTTTATCTACCTTAGGATCTTACATTTTTTAAGTGTCTTAAGGTTTGCCATATCCTTTTTTTCCCACGTTGAAGGATAAGAATTTCATTGCTGAGGAATGTCACTCATTTTACCATTTCCAAATAGATTCACTTAGGAGAATGTAAAATTTTTCTTCCCCTTGTCCCAAGAATAATAAGAAAGGTGTAAACATTTATTTTATGTCAATATAGCTGGAAATTAAGCATCAGCATCCAAAAGGGGAAGGGGAAGAAGGGAAGGAAAACATTTGCTATACATTTTGTCTTTTTCTGATATTGAGAAAAACCTTATATCAGGTTGCTTCCTACATATTTTTTAATCTACTTTTTTTTTTTAATTTGAGACAGAATCTTGCTCTGTCGCCTAGGCTGGAATTCAGTGGCACAATCTTGACTCACTGCAACCTCTGCCTCCCAGGTTCAAGCAGTTCTTCTACCTCGGACTCCCAAGTAGCTGGCATTACAGGTGCCTGCTACCATGCTGGCTACTTTTTGAATTTTTTATAGAGATAGGCTGTCACCATGTTGGCCAGGCTGGTCTTGAACTCCTGACCTCAAGTGACCCACCCTCCTGGGCCTCCCAAAGTGCTGGGATTACAGGCGTGAGCCACCTTGCTCAGCCTTAATCTACCAGTTTTTAAGAAAAAAATGGAATATTCTCTCTTTAACATTTATTGAATATTTATTATGAATTGGACACTCTGTTTAGTATTGTATATGATGATCTCATTTGTAATTATCTTTTGGTCAAGGGGAGTGCTAACCTTCTCTCCTTTCATACAACACTGTAATTATCTTTTTAAAATAAATGACTTTTTCAGGCCCTTGCTTATGATTGGTGGTTCCTCTGAAAGAAATCAGGAAACAATGGGAGCTTTCCAGGAATTTCCTCAGGTATCCAACTTTAAGATTTTATTTTTAATTTTTGAAACAGGGTCTCGCTTTGTTGCCCTATTGCGGATATCAGGAGAGTGGAGAGACCAATGGGTGAAACAGGAGGATTTTGTTTAGGTGCACCGGCTCAGTGGATTTGTATCCATAAACTGAGCAGAGGACAAAGAAAAGGGGGTAACTTTTACACATTTAGGATGATACAGCAGTAAATAGGTTTACAGAAGTCAGAACAAAGAACAGTTAATTAATTTGTAACATGTCTTTTGGTGTACTCTACAATTGAAAAGCGACATCTTTCTGCAGTTTTTATCTGCTCTGTGACCTTGCAGCTGGTTAGCAAGAAAAACAGGAATTTCTAGATGCCTGGGAACTTTGCTAAGAATGTGGGGAAAATAGATAAAGGTTAAATGGTTTGCAGGAAGTAAGTTTAACATTTCATGTACTATTAAGGAGATAGTACATGAAACAATGCACTACAGACTTTATTACATAGAAACTACAAATTATAAGGCTTTGTCTTACTATTATTGCTATTATTTAATTTCCTTCTTCAGCCCAGGCTGGAGTACAGGGGTGTGATCTCAGCTCACTGCAGCCTTGACCTCCTGACCTCAAGCAATCGTCCCACTTCGGCCTCCCAAGCATCTGGGACTACAGGTTCACACCACCACACCTGACTAATTTTTTAATTTTTTGTAGAGATGAGATTTCACCATGTTGCCCAGGCTAGTCTTGAACTCCTGAGCTCAAGCAATCTGCCTGCCTTAGCTTCCCAAAGTGCTGGGATTACAGGCGTGAGCCACCGCACCTGGCCTGCAACTCTAAGTTTTAGTAACAATACATGCACACCATTAAGAGTTAGGGAGAAGATGTAAAAAAGCCTCCTGTTTGCACAATAATATAAATCAATCAATTATAAGTACCTGAAGTAATTTAAAGGTAATTATCTTGAGCTACTACAAGACAACCTCAAGGTGGATATTAAGGGTGAGCTTGGGCCCTGCTTAGAAACAAGCTTTCAAGAAATACACCTTTGTGACAGGATGTTAAGCTCTGAAAATAGGCTGTTAAAAGAGTCAAGCAGATAGAGGAATCAAAATGATTTTGGACTATACCTCCCAGACTTTGGGGAATAAACACTTGAGAGGAAAAATTTTACTCAAAATGATTATCAGTAGACTCTAGACAAGTATATTTTTGTTTTAGAAGAAGGAAGGAAAACATTTCAAAATTAAAAGAAACTCGAAAGAATATGTCAACAAAATGTTATAGCTTTAGGAATAAAGCTGAGCATGGTAGTTCATACCTGTATTCCTAGTTACTCAGAAGACTCAGGCAGGATTGCTGGAGCCCAGGTGTTTGAGACTAGTCTGCGCAACGTATTCAAATCTTGTCTCTCTCTCTCTCTTTTTTTTTGTTTTTTTTTGAGACAGGGTATGGCTGTGTTGCCCAGTCTGGAGTGTAGTGCCTGATCTTGGCTCACTGCAACCTTCACCTCCTGGGCTTAAGCCATTCTCTCACCTCAGCCTCCCAAGTAGCTGGGACTGTAGGCACATGGCACTAAGACCAGATAATTTTTGTATTTTTTGTAGAGACAGGGTTTTGCCATCTTTCCCAGGCTGGTCTTGAACTCCTGACCTCAAGTGATCCGCCCACCTCAGCCTCCTGAAGTGCTGGGATTATAGGCATGAGCCGTTGCACCTATTCAAGGGACCTGGTCTTAAAAAAAAAAAAAAAGGAAGAGTTGTAGGAAACAAAGTGAATGATTGACACTTAATATATAGATATATTTGAGCATTTACAGGACAAAGTTAAAATCATTAGACAGCCAGTTGCAGTGGCTTACCCCTGTAATTACAGCACTTTGGGAGACCAAGGTGGGTGGATCACCTAGGGTCAGGAGTTTGAGACCAGCCTGTCAACATGGTGAAACCCTGTCTCTACTAAAAAATATAAAAATTAGCTGGGCTTGGTGATGGTCACCTGTAATTCCAGCTACTTGGGAGGCTGAGGCAGGAGGATCAATTAAACCCAGGAGGCAGAGGTTGCCGTGAACTGAGATCGTACTACTGCTCTCCAGCCTGAGCAACAAGAGCAAAACTACATCTCAAAAATAAATACATAAATAAAATCATTAGACAAAATCTGTTTGTAAATCAGAAGTCATTGTCGAGAACTTCAAAAGTAAAATTTGATATATGATAAACTAATATAAAATACTGAACTCTATTATAGGTTAATGCAAAAGTTATATTTTTATACTCTTAGAAGGGAATTAAGTTTTACTTAGTTAATGGTAGACAATAACAGTTATTTAAAAGATGCTGATGTGTTTGGAAAAGAAGTAGAGCAGATAATTAAAAGGAAATCTAAAGTTACTGCAAAAACTATATAGGTGAAAAAGAAAACAGGATAAATGTCCACTACGTATTTTTTTTCCTGAAATGGAAAATAATATTTTATTAGATCAAATTTAAAAACAGAGGGGAGGCCGGGTGCGGTGGTTCACGCCTGTAATCCCAGCACTTTGGGAGGCTGAGGTGGGCGGATCGCTTGAGATCAGGAGTTCGAGACCAGCCGGGTGATACCCGGTCTCTACTAAAAATGCAAAAATTAGCTGGGCATTGTGGTGGGCACCTGTAATTCCAGCTACTCGGGAGGCTGAGGTAGGAGAATTGCTTAAACCTGGGAGGCAGAGGTTGCGGTGAGCCAAGATTGGGCCATCACACTCCAGCCTGGGTGACAGGCTGGGTGTCTCAAAAAGAAAAAAAAAATTAAATTAATTAATAAATTAATCAGAAGATAATCCAAATATCAGTTTCTTGTAGAAGTCCTTAAAACTAAAGGACATGAACATAGACTGAAAATTGGGGAGTGGGGGGTGATCTTAATTCTGTCATGCCTGTGGGACTATCAGTTTTTCATAGATTTCATACTAAAACATATCAAGAGAAACAGTTTCTGTATAATGCTTCAAGATATATTAAACAGTAAAAAATTATCACTACTGAATTCATATATTCTCAACAGTATAAAAAGAAAGTATATAAAAGGAATACTGACAGAAATATAAGTTATTGTAACAAAATATAACAGATGAAGTTGCTTATTCTTATCTGTGGAACTGCTGGATCCAAAGGTGTGCTGATTTAAATTTTTTGTAGATTTTGTTAACTTCCTTTCCCATTTATCGTCTGACCAGCAGTTTATAGAAATGCCTATTTTCCTGTGTTGTGTTAGATGGTAGATATTATCAAACCTTTGCATCTTTGCCAATCTGAGAAATGAAAATTATGTCTTATTTTAATATGCTTCCCGAATCATACCAAGGCAAAACTTTGTGCTTTGAATAGGCTTTTGAGGGACAGTCTAGGTAATACATTTTCTCCATCTTGCCTCTAAACATAAAGAAAGTAACGACTTAACATTTTGTCTTCTTTCAGGAGACTAATATAATTGTGAGCTGAATTTTAAGTGATTTTCATTTTTCATGTAGGTTGAAGCTTGTAGATTATATACCAAGTTCTCTGCCCGTCCAAGCAGCATAGAAGCTATTCCTTTTGTTATTGAAAAGGTACAGTATTTAACGGTGAGCTTAGGCCCTGCTTAGAAACAAGCTTTCAAGAAATACACCTTTGTGACAAGATTGTGACTCCCCTACTCAGGAGGCTGTGGAATGAGAATTGCTCCAGTTCAACTGGTTTTTCTCAGTTGCTCATACTTACGTTATTTTTATTCTCAAAAGAATGAGTGACAGTTAGGAATATACCCAGGCAGTTAAAAATGGCATTGTTAAAAAACTATTTACATCTTAATGCTCACTGTCATTATATTTAATTATAGAGAGGTAAAATAAGTTATTTTTGGAAAAAGTTTCTCTTGTGCTTTAGTTTTTAAAATTATCTTTTTAATTATACAAAAGTAAAGATAAAGGTATAATGAATCCCTGAGTACCTTTTCTCTTGTGCTTTTGCAAAAGATTATTTTTGAAAATTGGGACTAAACCAAAACCATGTAAGACCCTCAGTTAATTAAGCAGCATACAGGTTGATTATTCCTTATCTGAAACGCTTTTCAGAGAGTTTCTGACTGCAGATTTTTTCAGATTTTAGAATATTTGCATATATATAATGAGACATCTTGGGAATGGGATCCAAGTCTAAATATGAAATTCATTTATGTTTTATAGGTTCCTTATATACATAGTCTGATGGTAACTTTATTTTTCCCTTGGGGACACTGAATAAACTGTTTCTACACCTGCATTTTGACTGTGAGCTGTCACATGAGGTCAGATGTGGAGTTTTCCACTTGTATCATCATATCGGCACACACCAAGTTTCACAGTTTGGAGGATTTTGGATTACAGATACTTAGCCTGTATTATAAATTATAATCAGCATTTATACATGAAATTACGCTTGAGCTGTTTCAAAACCAGGAGTTACAGAAACCGTTTGATACATGTAACCACATCACAGTTTCTGCAAACACTGCCAGATTATTAAGATTAGGAAGCAGGTGAAAGTATATAGTACAGTGCAAAAACTTGGCATGCAGAGCCTCGTGAATAATTTCCAAAACCAAAGTGTAATAGAACGTGAATTTTAAAGCCCTAAATGAATACTTTGTTATCTCTCTTCCCTTTTAAACAAAAAAATCTTTAAAAATATAGTCAATAGAGCACATTTCAATTTTGATTATAATTATTATTTCTCTACCTAAGGATGTCCAGAAAAATGAAAATAGTGTTATTTTACAGTTCTAAATTATCTTTGAGTGTATTACGATAAGACTGAGATTTTACAAATCTTTTCTTCTACTTGTAATAAATGTAGGCAGTGAGAACCAGTATCTATGGTCGTCCAGGTGCTTGCTATGTTGACATACCAGCAGATTTTGTGAACCTCCAGGTGAATGTGAATTCTTTAAAGTGAGTAATAGTTATACTGGAATTCTTTCTTCAATATACATGTATTATTATAATGCCTACCTTTTTAAAATAATTTACCCAGCAGTTTATAAGTTAATTTCCATTTGTCTTAACTTGATGATTTAGTAATTAAACTGAATCCTAGCCAAAGGGCTTAATTCTCTCAATTAAAATGATATTAGTGGTCAGGCGCAGTGGCTCACACCTGTAATCCTAGCACTTTGGGAGGCCGAGACAGGCAGGTCACCTGAGGTCAGGAGTTCGAGAGCAGTCTGGCCAATGTGGTGAAACCCCATCTCTACTAAAAATGCAAAAATTAGCTGGGTGTAGTGTCAGGCACCTGTAGCTACTTGGGAGGCTTCTGTAGGAGAATTTCTTGAATCCAGGAGGTGGAGGTTACAGTGAGCTGAGATCATGCCACTGCACTCCAGCTTGGGCGACAGAGCAAGACTCAAAAAAAAGAAAAAGATATTTATTAGTAGTTATTTCTGTATTTAATTACTAAACCAAATACTTGGAACTTCCTGAACTCTTCATTGAAATTATTCCTTAAGTAACCATAAATATACATCCCTTGTTAATGTGGTATGGGTCCTTGAGAATCTTTATAATGTAAGCCAAGAGATTGGGTGATTATTGAAAATTATTAGGACTCAAGAAAAAAAAGTATCTAGCTGTCTCTCTCTATGGTTAACGAATATTCCAAACAGAGGTTTCTATGATTTCTCATACTTTTTAAATAAATACTAAGTGAAAAGAAGTAACAAAAAACATTTTTCAGTGGTATCTAAGTCTTCCCCTGATAAGGATAGCTACTTGGGTTAAAGCATCATGGGTACCGTTTTGTGCATTTCTGCCATTGTGGACCAAATGGTTCTGTAGTGACTACAGACACACAGTGTGTCTTACTGTATACTCTGTGTACCAAGTGCCGTTGTGGACCAAATGGTTCTCTAGTGACTACAGAGACAGTGGGTCTTACTGTATATACTGTATACTCTGTGTACCAAGGAGTGCTTTTTATTTGGGAGAGTCAGATAAAAAGGACATCTGTTTATTCTGCATAATACCTGAACATGATAACCAAAATAATACTAAGGGGAGAAGGGCTAGTGTCAGGTAAGTTAACTCTATAAGCCTTTTAATTTTTTTACAGATTGTTCTTTTTTATTATATGTCTAAATATTTTGACTATATGTCTAAATTTTTTACAGTGTAATTTATTAATTAGAATAAATGAAATATCACAGAACTTGGTGTCCAGAAATACTTAACTGTGACAGTTTTAATGTTTCTTTTACTATTGCATATTGTGATACTAAAGTATTAACATCCAGCGAGTGAAACGTAGTGAGGCCGTGCACAGTAGCTCACTCCTGTAATTCCAGTACTTTGGGAGGCCTAGGTGGGTGGATCACCTGAGGTCAGGAGTTTGAGAACTGCCTGGCCAACATGGCGAAAACCTGTCTCTACTAAAAATACAAAAATCAGCCAGGCGTGGTGACATGTTCCTGTAGTCCCATCTACTCAGGAGGCTGAGGCAGGAGAGTTGCTTGAACCCGAGAAGTGGAGGTTGCATTGAGCCAAGATTGCACCACTGCACTCTAGCCTGGGTGACAGACTGAGACTCTGTCTCCAAAAAAAAGGGAAAGAAATGTGTTAAGGTGTTTAAAAGCATGGACTTTGGAGACAGAATGACTGGTTCAATCCAGCCTCTGCTACATGTCATCTGGAGATCTTGGACAAGTTACTTTCTCTTGAGTCTTTTTTTTCCTCAGTGGTGAAATGGAGATGATATTAATACCTGACCTCATTGTTTTGATAAATAAATGAGAATAAATGGCACATAGCAAATATTAGATTTTAGTATGTTTTTACTGTTACAACAGCTACTACAGTACAAAGCCATTAACTCAGATTTTCTGTCAATGAATTGGCCATTTCACTGGCTATTAGATGATATTGGAGAATAACTTAATTTACTAGATAATAATGATGTGCTGGTTGAATATAGGAGAAGGTCCTCTTATTCACAGTCACATGGAGAAATTTTTAAGGGTGAAGTGTCTTGATGCCTATTATTTGCTTTAACATAGTTCAGGAAACATAAATGCATGTTTGTGTGTATACATATATATATATAAAACAAAAGTGGTAAAATGAGATTAAGTTGTTAGATCTACATGGGGGCGTATGGGGGCTTATTGTGCTATTTTTCCTACCTTTCTATATATTTGAGATGTCCACAATAAAAAGATTAGAGTTGGCTTCTTTTAATTAACAGGGCTCTTTTTTCCCAGGTACACGGAGTGCTGCATGTCACCTCCTATCAGCATGGCAGAAACCTCTGCTGTACGCATGGCAGCTTCTGTTATTAGGAATGCCAAACAGCCCCTTCTTATCATCGGAAAAGGTAGCATGAATAGAGCTCTAAGTCTTGCTAGGCTTTTGAAAGTGCTGATTCTTTTTATAAATTTTAATTGTTTATTAATGTCTGTTCTAATGTTTGAAATTGGAATAAGAATTCTCTTTATCCATTTTGCATTATTTGTTTTGAAATTATAGAATTATTCTTTAATGCCCAGAGATTTCATGCTTTTAAGGAAATACTACCTATTTAATTTCTTTGGTCTTATGAGTAAAATGCATTTATTCTATTATAAAACATTATGAAAAATCAAGAAAAGAAGAAGTTCCTTCATCTGAGGTAACCATTTTTAACATGCAATACTTTTCTATTCCCTTTTACACGTATGTTATGTACTGTGTTAATACTAGACAGTTTCATATTCTACCTTATTTAAGATTATAATATTTTTCATCTTAAAAGCATTTCTTAAATATAATTTTTAATGTCTCTTCATATGTACATTAACACTTTCTTTCCTGGCAAACATTTACGTCTTTGCCATTTACTGTTTGTTTGTTTAATATGTTTGTGCCTAAAACTTTTTCTGTATTTAGGATTTAAGATTCCTAGAAAGAAAAGTTAGAGGATATGAATATTTTTAAGGCTTTTGGTACGTATTGTCATATTGCTTTCTCCGGAGGTAATGAACCAACCAATTTATACTCCTGTCAGCAATTTATTATAGTATTCATTTCATGTTCTAGAACTGAGGCTGCTGGGATCATCTATGACCATGCTAATCAATTATGAACTGCTTAGGAACTAAGTATGTAGAAACCAAAAAAGTTTGGTAGTGGATGACAAAAAATTGAGGTCAGAACTAAGTTGAATGTGTTATATGATGTATTAGCTCTGTGACTTTGGCAAACAACTGCTTCGAGTTTCAAATTACCTCACTTCTAAAACAGGGATATTAACAGCCTCAACAGGATGTAATTAAATAGCAAAATATGTGGAAAGCACTCAGTGGATGCCAGTTTTTATTCTTCTTTTAACAAACATTTGATGAGTGCTTATGATAAGGCAGGGATTATACAGAACATTCATTAGGGATACAGAGAAATAGTGGTTCCTACCTATGGGGGAGGGGAGATAGACCTGGTAACAAGTAAGTGTAATATACTCTCAGGTGGTGTGTACAGAGAGAGTAAGGCAGGTTTTCAAGGAAAGTAACAACAGTTTGCTTGTGTAGGTAGTATGGAGGGACCATCCAGAAGAGATGGCACAACAGCTATATCTTGAAAAAGCAGACAGTAGTTCCCAAATGGACAGAGCAAAGACAAAGCAGGAAGAGAGAACTGAGTGTACAGAGACATTGAGACAGGAAGGAGAATACAAGAAAACTTTCGGGATGAAAAAAAAAGGAACTATTTTTCATCATGCATGTATGAGAAGGGATTTTAAGGTAGTTTTGTAGCATGGAACATTATATTGAATCTGCAAGTGCATGATACTGTTTACTAGGATTCAGTAGATAATTATAAATACAGAATATGGAATAATATACTGGCCTTGAAAAAGTATAAAATAGCAAAAAATACAGTGGTCTTGATGACAATAGAAATGGAATATTTGAACAATAAGATATTTTAGTCTCATCAAGGGAATAGGGCATAGGGTTATTCCCAGGCACACAACTGTGAAAACAGATGATAATGTGTCCCCCTGGGGTTAGCTCTGTTACAATCACAGAATTATAGAGCCTGTAGAAAGATCTGCAGATCTTTAGAAACTTAATGCACCTTAGGAATTCCATGCCTAGAGTAGGAGACCTTGTGTAGAACAGGAGATTTGCTGGAGGTTAGGACCAACATGTGAGGGTAGAGAGAGCCTTTCTCTTTCAGGACAACATTCTTCCCTGGCCACCTGGGCCTCCCAGTAAAGATAGTGTGTCCAGGGAATTGTAGATAGTAGCTCAGTAGGACCATAACATAGAATGGGTAAGTGACACTAGCAAGAGCTGTGAGATGACTTTTGTTTTGGGATATACATCTTTCAGAATAATTGAGTTATTGGTGGGAAATTAGAACTCTTACTTTGTTAAGCATTTTAAAATGCCAATGATAAAAACTATAGTCACAATTTGTTTTGAGTTTAAGCCCAGGTTTGGTCAGAAGGAGAGTATTTAAGAAGATCTATTTCTTAGGAGGTAAAGGAAGCAGGATTGCTTGACCCCATGAGTTCGAGACCAGCAAACCAGCCTGGGCAATATAGGGAGACCTCGTCTCTACAGAAAGGTTTAGAAGTAGCCGAGTGTGGTCGTGGTGTGTGCCCATAGTCCCAGCAACTTGGGAAGCTAAGGAGGGAGGATTGCTTGAACTAGGGAGGCGGAGGTTACAGTGAGCCAAAATCGTGCCAGTGCACTCCAGCCCGGGTGATAAGAGTGAGTCCCTGTCGCAAAAAAATAAATAAATAAAAAGCAGTTTCACATGAACTGTTTTAAGGGTCACAGTGCCTATAGCTTAACTGAATTGTCAAATATACTTGCATTTCTTGTAGGTGCTGCCTATGCTCATGCAGAAGAGAATATCAAGAAATTGGTGGAGCAATATAAACTGCCATTTTTGCCCACCCCTATGGGGAAGGGGGTTGTCCCTGACAACCATCCAAACTGTGTAGGTGCAGCCAGATCCAGGTATGTGACGTTCCAGATTTTCAATACAATGGCTTGGTAGATTGTAGGCTAATTTAAATTATTTTGTGATTTTAATCTAGGATGGAGTTCTGAAAGAATCATGGAATTTTAAGCATATGTTTATTTTTGGACTATCTTCTGGCTTTCATGGTTTCATATGAGAAATCTGCAGTCATTCAAATTATTGTTCCCCTGTATGTAATGTGTTGTTTTTCTGTGGCTGCTCCCAAGAATTTCCTTTATCTTTCGTTTCCAGCAGTTTAATTATGATGTGTCTGGAGATGGTTTATTTTAGTTTAGCCTATTTGGGATTCTCTTTTTTTTTTTTTTAATCTCAGAAAATTTAGAGTCCTCTAAGAATGTTTTTCATCTGAAAAATAGTGATGTTAATACTTGCCTTGTAAGTAAAACAGATAATGAAATTATATTAATTATTATATTAAATGAATTATTCTTGTTTTCTCCGCACTTTCTAGGTGCCAAAGACATGGCACTAATATCTTCACACAGATGATCATAGTAGTAGTGAAGATGAAGTGATCATCTGTTTGGGATTCTCAAATCTTGAATCTGAAAATTTACATCTTTTTCTAAATTTGGAAAGTTTTCACCATTCTTTCTTCAAATGTTTTTTTCTACATCAACCTTTATCCATGTTGATATTGTTTGACATGTCCCTGAGTGTCTGTTCATTTCTTTTTAATCCTTTTATTTTATATTTGGTTTCTCTGCTGAGATCCTCTATTTTTACATTGCTTTCAAGAATTTTTTTTTATATTTCATGATGGATTATAGTTATAATAGTTTCTGCAGTCTTTGTTTATTAATTCCAACATCTGAGTCATCTCAGATTGGCATCTATTCATCATCTTTTCTTTTGAGAGTTGGTCACATTTTTCTGGCTCTTTTTGTGAGTAATTTTGGATTGTATCCTGGAATTTTGAATATTATATTTTGAGATTCTGGGCCATATTAAAATCCTCTGTAGAACGTTGATTTTTGTTGGTTTCTCTTAGCAGACAATCAACATGATTACATTAGCTTCAGACTACAAATTGAAGTGTGAACTTATAAGTAAGTCGTTTCAGGGTCAGTTCAGTTTCAGAGCCTTTGCTGTGCTATTCTGGGGCTGTCGGCACATGCCTAGCCCGGGGTGAGCCCCAGACATTTACTGGTTCATACCCAGAATTAGGGATTTATTTTCTCTTCTCTGTAGTCTCCCCACCCCCAACTCCCCCATTCCCAAGTGCCCCCTTTTCCTGGCTCTTGCTGCTCCCATATAGTATCATATAACTAAAGCTGCCCTCTGGACAAGCTGCAGAAGAAAAAAATAATGGGAATTGTCCCCATACTCCTCAGACCGCAGGGACTCCTTTTCCCAATTCCTCTCACCTGAAAGACGACATTTCTCTTGGAATTTTAGCTGCTTGGGAGCCACCACAGTGCAGCTCTGTAGTAAGGCTGCCCTCAGAACAGAACTGGGAGAGAAAGAAAAAAGAAAACAAATCGGACAATTTCCCCCCATACTCCCCAGCTTGCAGGGGTCCTTTTCCTGATCCTTTGGCCAAAAAAACAGTTTCTCTCCAAGTTTTGGTTGCTTGCTATTCTGCAACTAGGACTGCCTTTGAGTCAAAGCTAGGAGACAAAACATGGGGGAGAAATACCTTGGAAACTCGCCTTCTGTGTGGGTTGCTTCTTCCAATGTATCCGATCTTGGCTGGCATTGGAAGCTTCCTCTTTTTAGATTTTTAAGACATGCTTTTTGATGTACTATACCTTTTTTTCTTTTTAATTTCTTGAAATTTTTTTATTATGAAATATTCTAACTATACACACAGGAAGGAAGAATAATGTAATGAACACTTATGTAACCACCACTCAACTTTATCACTGTCAACATGAAAAGTAGACAGATGAATCTCTAAGTAAAAAAAGGTTTGATTTGGGAATAATACGTAAGAAGTAGGATTGTATCAGTAACTAACATTATTTTATTTTGCTTTAGAGTTTTTTTTGGAGACAAGGTCTTGCTCTGTTGCCCAGGTAGGAGTGCAGTGGCACAATCACAGCTGTTTGCAACCTCTGCCTACTGGACTAAAGCAATCCTCCTACCTCAGCCTCCCAAGTATTAATAGCTTGGACTACAGGCATGTGCCACTACACTGGCTAATTTTTGTATTTTTTGTAGAACCGAGGTTTCACCATGTTGCCCATGCTGGTCTCGATCTCCTGGGCTTAAGGAATCCACCCACCTAGGCCTCCCAAAGTGCTGGGATTGCAGCCATGAGCCACCATGCCCAGCCTAGGGTTTTTTTTTTTTCTTTTTAGGAAACAAAATATTATGGATTCATTTGTCGTCCCTTATGTATCTTTTTTGATCCTATTTCTTCCTTCCCTTTCCATAGTTTACCACTGTCATGTATTTGGTGTTCTTCATATTTTCATTCATGGATTAAAATTAATTCTGAGAGTTTTTTATTTTTATTTTGTAGAGACAGGGCCTCACTGTGTTGCCTAGGCTGGTCGCAGACTCCTAGGCTCAAGTGATCCTCCTACCTTGGCCTCCCAAAGTGCTGAGATTACAGGTGTGAGTGCTTGGCTTCTGAGGGTTTTTAAAATTTAATGTTTGCTGCTAGATGTTTAATTGTTGCTCCTTTAATGCCATCTTAATATAGTGTCTTTTTATATTAGTATACTTTATACAGTATACTAATGTATACTATATGTATACATGTGTAATGTATATTAAAATCTAATGTTTGCTGCTAGGTTTTTCATTGTCGCCCACTTAACAATATCTTAATATATTGTCTTTATATCAGTATATTTTATACAGTAACCAAGTTAATTCTTACACTATTAATTTTTTTATGCTTAGGTTGAAGTTTATCTTCAATCTAGCCAGATTTTAAGAGGATAATATTAATGACATTACTAGTGTAAAAAAGGTTTCAAGGAGCTACAAATAATTGAATCAGTGATTTCAAGAGTTTTAGAGTATCAGTAAGCAAGTCTGTCCTGCCGATTGCAGTTATCTGTTTGTTAAATTGGATCTCATAGGACTAAGATGATTTTGGAGTGTGTATTTTATTTTTGAGTATATAATTTCTGTGAAAAATTGCATTTATCACCAAAGAAGACAAAAGCAGTAAATAGAGATCCTGTATGGCAAAAGGCAGGAAAAATGAGAAACAGATATAAGAAGCAGAAAAATGAGAAGTGAAAAACAAAACAAAACCCACAGCAATTATGATAATAAAGTCTCCAGGAAAAAGGCAGACATTCAGATTGGATTAGTAATAACAGCAACTATGTGTGTTATAAGAGCTACATCTGAAACATAATGATACAGCTTTAAAACCAGACGGGGCAAAGGTAAGTGAAGTAAACAAAAAGAAAGCAAGGATGGTTGTGTTATGAAAGTAAAAATCATTAAAATATTAGAAGTTATATTGACAATAGCATTAAAATCTATAAAATAAAACTTAGAAATCTAGTTGGTATTGTAAGGTCTGACCACGCCATGAACTGCATGGTAATCTCTGTAACCTGCACGTACACCCGATCAACCTCTGCAGTGCGTAACTAGAGACATTCTTCTATTGTTTCCTATTCTGGCCTCAATTGACAAGGACATTGGACTTTGTAACTGACCTTGGCCAACCTCTTGATACCATACCCTCCGACCCCCTCCCAGCTTGGACAGCCTTGTGACTCCACACCCTAAGATCCCCTCCCAGCTTACAAACCTACGACCCCCTCCCAGCTTGCAAAAAACTGCCCTAAACTTAACTTTTGTAACTTTCCACTACCTCCCTCACAACCTATAAAACCAGCTGCTATTCCACCACCCTTCGGTGACACCCTTTTCAGCCTCAGCCCGCCCCTGCACCAGGTGAATAAACAGCCATCTTGCTCACACAAAGCCTATTTAGCGGGGTCTCTTCATTCAGTGTGCATATTTTAACAGGTGTAATATTTTAGAAGGCAATTCTGGAATATGAATCAATAGTCTTAAAATAACTGCTTCTAGGGACCAATGTGAAGAGTACATTAAGACTTAAGTATGAAGATGTGCAACCCAGCACTATTAACAACAAAATATCCAGCAATTGATGAAACATTAAATAAATTTTGGCATATGTGTTCAGCAAAATATGTAGCCTTTAAAAGTTGTATTTAAGAACTTAATGACAAAGGAAAACATGTATGATAAGCAGAAGTATATGAGACATCCAGGCCCAGTGGTTCATGCCTGTAATCCAAACAATTTGGGAGGCCAAGGTGGGCGAATTGCTTGAGACCAGGAGTTCAAGACCAGCTTAGACAAGATGGCAAAACCCCATCTCTACAAAAATTAAAAATTAGCCAGGTGCAGTGGCGTGTGCCTGCAGTCTCAACTACACAGGAGGCTGAGGTAGGAGCATCACTTAAGCCCGAGAGGTAGAGCCTGCAGTGAGCTGTGATTGCACCGCTGCACTCCAGCCTGGGCAAAAGATTGAGACCCTATCTCAAAACAAAACAAAAAATGTGTATGACACAGTATTTTAGTATATAAGCTCAAATATGTAAAAATATACTTGAATAGAAAAAAAAGTAGGTGAAAATATGCCCAGATATTTATAGTAATTTATAAGTTGAAAGTATGGGGTGATTTTGTTTTTTGCTTTAGACTTTTTCTGTTCTTTCTGGATTGTCTACAGTAGACTTGTATGAATTTTTCTAATTATAAAAAAGTAATAAAAGAGTATAAATACAGCTTATTGTATTTTACTTAATTATATTTTAGATTGTTATTTATTTAAAATGGTTTTATAAATTATTTTAGCTTAAAAGATCAAATAAACCCAAAAGCTGATTTCTGATGTCTGATGTAAGCTTCAAATGATTTAGACATCTCAAATACTTTAGAGATAAATTTTAGAATAATTCACATAAGAAATACAGTTACACTTTTATATCAATTTTTTTTAATAGGGCTTTGCAATTTGCTGATGTGATTGTTTTATTTGGTGCCAGACTAAATTGGATTTTACATTTTGGACTGCCTCCAAGATATCAGCCAGATGTGAAGTTTATCCAGGTACTCAGAGAGGAGGAACTTAAAATCAGAAATGCTTGTATTCATTATTCTCCCTATCAGCCCTGTTTTCTTCTTGGTTTCTGAAAAAAAAAAAAAAAAAAAGAAAAGAAAAAAGTATTCTCTTTTTACACAAGTAGAATGTTATAAATTGTCTAACATAAGTACAGGTACCAAAATAAGTTTTCTTTTCAAGCTTGTGAAACATAATGTGCCACTTTACTTCTAGCTAGAAAACCTTTCAAAAAGTTTAAAAAGCCTAATTTGTCTTTTCTTCACAATTCAAGTATATTTAAAGGTAGAGAAAAGAGACTTAGGTAGAATGGTAGATTAGAACAAAACATGCAGCATTGTTAGGGAGTGAGGTTTTCTTTCAGATGCCAAAACTTTCACGTTTTGGATAGGAATTTCTAAATGACACTGCTTTTACATGTCATTAAACAGCATTGGGAATGTGTATTCTGACTTGTCTTTGATGATTCTTGTATCATTATGACCCACCTTATAAGCCAGTTTCCTTACTGGTGTGGACAGTACTACCTACAAAGTGGCATGCAAACCTTTTTGCTCTACACGAATTGGCCCCATTTTGCTTGATGTTTTTGTTTGATGGTTGTTTTTGAGACAGCATCTTTCTGTCACTCATGCTGGAGTGCAGTGGCACAGTAATGGCTCACTGAAACCTCAACCTCTCAAGGTCAGGCGATCCTCCCACCTCAGCTTCCTGATGTGCTGGGACTATAGATGTGTACAATAGTACCTGGGTAATTTTTCATTTTTTGTAAAGACAAAGTCTCACTGTGTTGCCCAAGCTGATCTTGGTCTCCTGGCCTCCAGCAGTTCTCCTGCCTCGGCCTCCCAAATGCTGGATTACAGACTTGAGCCACTGTGCTTGGCTTGCTTGATGTTGGATGACCCCGCTACAGCTGCTCTTTTTCCAGTCTACCTTTTACTGAGGTGGAGTCTCCCTCTGTCGCCAGGCTGAAGTGGCATGATCTCTGCTCACTGCAACCTCCACCTCCCTGGTTCAAGCGATTCTCCTGCCTCAGCCTCCTGAGCAGCTGGGACTACAGGTGTGTACCACCTGTAGTATTTTAATACTAAAAATAGTTTTTGTTTGTATTTTTAGTAGAGACAGGGTTTTACCATGTTGGCCATAATGGTCTTGATCTCTTCACCTTGTGTTCTGCCCACCACAGCCTCCCAAAGTGCTGGGATTACTGTCATGAGCCACCACGCCTGGCCTACCTTTTACTTCTTAAGGAGTCAACTTCCAATTGTTCCTTTCCCACCTGCAGCCATTGAGAACTAAAACTACAGACAAGCAAGACTGAGTTACCTGGAAGATGCTGCTACCTCTTGATTGCCACTCTCGATTACAGAATAAGATATATCCCCTTTGGAGTGGCTAAATTATTCCTCTTTGCAGAAGCCATTTTCGTTTGTTCATGGCCATCCAGAAATGGAACTTCTGAGTAAATGGAGAAGTAATGACACCATGATCTTGGCCAGCCGCATCAGCACCATCTATGAAACCTGTTAGAAATGCACATTTCTTGACCCTGCCCTAGACCTATTAAAATAACAAACTGAGGTAGACTCTTAGTCTATTGTTTTTCAAGCCCAGAATATATCAGGTGACTGATATATGCTCAGATTTGACAACCCACACTCTAGGTAGGAATCCAAATATAATTCAGTAGAACTTACTGATTAGATGCAAAACTATCATTGATCAGGTCAAATGCATTCCATATGGGTATAATGAAGCAATACCAAAGTTCAGTAGAGTAGATTTTCGAAACAAGGGAAGATAATGAGGCTCTCTGTACTAGCTGTGATACTAATATAGTTCTGTGGACTTTTACTTTTTTTAATTAAGGAACTTCTGAATATCAAATCTTCTTTATTGTGTGTCCTATATACTCAGTTCATTTATTGTCTGAGTTCATTTAAGTCTTAATTGGCTTCTTACAGATTTTTCAAAATAAACATGGGTTGTTCTTTAGCCTTGTCTCTTTTTTAGGTTGATATCTGTGCAGAAGAATTGGGTAATAATGTAAAGCCCACTGTTACTTTGCTGGGAGACGTAAGTGCTGTCAGTAAGCAGGTGAGAACTTTTAGTTTATGTGGAGTGCTCTTTAGGGAATAGTCAATTCTTGAAAATATTTTAATCTTGATTCATTTGGTAACAGGTCTACTATTAATATCTGTTTTATACAAAATATATGCTTGACATCTATTCTTAAATATAACTTTGGAACTTGATAAATCCAGCTTCTTGTATATGGCTCATTTTCATGGAAGAGCATTTTTGGAAGCTGGTTGAAAATGTAACATCTTTCAGTAGGCAAACAGTACTTTACTAAATAGGATCCAGCTATCTGAAAAAGGATACCTTCTAAAGGAACTGAACTTACTGCCAAGAAATGGCTTAGCACTGGAAAAATCTAACAGTATTTCTTTAGGTAAAAAAGACCTTTTTACTCTTCAAACTGATCATTGACTTTTCCAGGTTCTTATTATTTGTACATAGTTTGTACTTTTCACTGTGACAGGAGATAAAATATAGTCACATTTATCACTTGAATTTTGGATGATACAACTGGTATTACTGTCATGATTACACAATATAGGATGTAATCCCAAATCGCATATTTAATCACTCTTTAGCATTTGGTCTGTATCATAGGAGTCCATGATTATTTGTTGGTCTTCCTGTAAGAGTTCTGTGGAAGGAGTGGTTTTTCTTCTAGAGTCAAAAACTGAGGAGGGTCTCAGAGCGCCTTCTTGAAGTATGGAGGAGGTAGCACTTCAGTCTGTCCTATGGACATCCCAGCGTCTGGCAGAAGCCCGTACTGACCCAAACAAAAACCTTCCATGTTACCCATTGATCTTCTATCAGGTGTTTGCTAATTAGAGGAAAAAAAGAGTCTGAGTGATGTGAAGGGTAGTAGGGCAGTATTGTCTTCTTCAAGAAGAGATTTCCATGTTAATATGTTTTAAATTTATTTTTGAAAAGCAGAGCAGGCATGGTGGCTCATCCCTGTAATCCCAGCACTCTGGTAGGCTGAGGTGGATGGATCACCTGAGGTCAGGAGTTTGAGATCAGCGTGGCCAACATGGTGAAACACTGTCTCTACTTAAAATACAAAAATTACCCGGATATGGTAGCAGGTGCCTGTAGTCCAAGCTGCTCAGGAGGTTGAGGCAGGGTAATTGCTTGAACCTGGGAGGCGGAGGTTGCATTGAGCCAAGATCACGCCACGGCACTCTAGCCTGGGTGACAGAATGAGACTTCATTTCAAAAAAAAAAGAAAAGGTGAAGAAAAAGTTTGTGGGTTTTTGTTTTGTTTTTTAGCTTTTAGAGGAACTTGACAAAACATCATGGGAGTATCCTCCAGAGAGCAAGTGGTGGAAAACTCTGAGAGAAAAAATGAAGAGCAATGAAGCTGCATCCAAGGTAAAATGGGACCCACTGAAGCTCAAGAACACATCAGGTTCATGGTTCAGTTACTTCTGCTGTAATGTGACATGTGTATTCCTAAAAATCACCTTGCTGTGCAAAATCTTACAATGAAAACCCCAGGGCTCATGGAAAAAGGGGCTTAGGGGGCACAACTCTCAAAAACTTTTTGTAACATAAAAATAACATAAGAACCTAATAGAAATGGTGGCCAAGTTTTAAACATGTTAAATGGTTAAGAAATACATGCCAATTAATATAGCATTTTACCTTGAAAAAGACCTGGAGTTTCTGAAGGGTCGTAGCTTGTGAATTACTGTGAGCTGGTGGAAGGAGGGTGATTGGACATCGGATGGAAAGTGATAATCGTGGAAGTGGATGGGTGTGTCTTCAGTTTGATGTTGGCATAGAACATCACAATTAAACACCTGTAATCCTAGCACTTTGGGAGGCCAAGGCAGTAAGATCAGTTGAGGCCTGAAGTTTGAGAGTCTGGGCAACATAGCAAGACTTTGTCTCTACCAAAAAAAAAAAAAAAAATTGGCCATATGTGGTGGCACACACCTGTTGTCCTATATACGTAGAGGCTGAGGTGGGAGGATTGCTTGAGTGTAGGAGTTGAAGTGGCACTGCAGTAGATCATACCACTGTACTCAATCCTGGGTGACAGTGATACCCTGTCTCAAAAAAAAAAATTAACCATTAGGTGATTTTGTTGTTGTTGTTGTTGTTGGAATCCTTAAGTCTTAGGGCTTTTGAGATGTATTTCTGCTTTTAAGATATACGTCCTTCAGGGTATGCTATTATATTATATAGCTGTTTCGTCAAAATTGTAATTTTCATCCAATGTATAGCCTCCTTTTTTTTTAACTTTTGTATCACTGCTGGAAATTCTTTTGTGGTGCTCTCATTTGCACTCTTGGCTTTGCCTGGTAGCTAAGGTTTTAGAAATTGTGGTGTTGCTAGAAACCATCAAACTACCACGAGCACTAAAATGCGTCAGTGCTGCAGGATTTGGTGATTTCTAGTTAAGTGTGTGTGTGTGTGCGTAGTGCTTTCCCTATGTGAGAAAGATAATTTTTTAAAATTATTTTGTGTATTCCTATGTACCTTTGTTCAGCTGGGTGCGGTTTTCTGTGTCTTATGTACGATTCCACCCGTGTTTCTTAACTGGTGGAATTATGCATGAGCAAATACAAAATTCAAGTTATGCTCACTTGGTTCCTAATATATCAATTGTCTTAGAATTAATTCACATTTTTGCATCAAACATTATAGCAGAATTGATTATACATGTGCAATGTAAGATATTCCAATATCTTACATTGGAATTTTAATCAGTGACTGTTCCTTTCCAGAGCAAGTCTCAATTTTATTTCCTACGTCATATCATGACTAATCTTTTCTTTCCCATAGGGATGATGTTGGTTTAAGATGGAAGGGATTTGCCTCTCTTCTCTGATGCAGGCGTATGGGAGGGTCCCTCATTCATGCCGGGTGTAATTTCCAGCAGAACAAAGTAGCGTGAGTGAAGAGGCAGTGCCGGGGTCAGATGGGACCGTTGCTGCTAAAGCTCTCTGTAGCTTTCTCTTAGCCCTGAAAGGCATGTGGCTAGACAAAGGCATTTACCTTGCTGTTTTTCTCTCCATTCAGGAACTCTTTAGAATAGTGGGGGTAACATATCTCTTTTACTCTCAAGTGTGTTAGGAGGAAAACTAGATTTTCAGATTGTATCCTAAAATCATGACATTTTAAGTTTAGGGTCATATTTCAGATGAAAATATTCTAGAATAAATTTCACTTTTTCTAAGGCACCATTTTCCTAAGAGTGCTCAAATAAGAATGTTTAGTTTTATTTAACCCAATGCTTCCCAGCTCTTTTTACTATAGGGCTTCTTAGAGTCTTTAATATGCTCCTGTGCATTGCAGATCTCCAAGAGGAGGGGTACTCCTGAGCTTATTTAATTGTGTTCCAAACTGGGACTGTGGGACATGTGTCCCCCAGGGCTGTTCACAGATCGGCTAACTTCTCAGAGTGGCCATTTTATAGCCATTTGGGAACCTTGTGGCTTGTAGTTGTTGCCTATTTCCAAATAAGTTTGATAGTAGCTTATTTACATTGGTTATTTATTTTTTTGAGACGGAGTTTCGCTGTTGTTAGCCAGACTGGAGTGCAATGGCATGATCTCAGCTCACCGTGGGTTCAAGCAATTCTCCTGCCTCAGCCTCCCCAGTAGCTGGGACTACAGGCGCGCACTACCATGCCCAGCTAATTTTTGTATTTTTAGTAGAGACAGGGTTTCACCTTGTTGACCAGGATGGTCTACATTGGTTATTTTCATTGTTTCCCAATTTAATTTAATTGTATTCCCGTCTACTTTTCAGGAATTAGCTTCCAAAAAATCCCTGCCTATGAATTATTACACGGTATTCTACCATGTTCAAGAACAACTACCTAGAGACTGTTTTGTGGTTAGCGAAGGGGCAAATACTATGGACATTGGACGGACTGTGCTTCAGAACTACCTTCCTCGTCACAGGTAAGACTTCTAAAGCAGAAAGAAATGATAATTTATTATAATGCATTTAATATGAAACTACAATAGTGCAGATTAAGAAAACATTTGAGAATTATACATGTACAGTATGTAATGACATATGTCATAAAAGTATCCTTAGGTGAGGTTTTGTAGAGTTTTTATGCTTAATGTGTTCTTGGTATCATGTAATAATTTGTTTACTTAGTGATCTAGGAGTATGTTCACAGTCTTCCAAGCAGACATGAGACGCTTTTTTCTGTCCTTGACAAATTAGTTCCTAACAGTCTAATGATTTTATATTGAAGAAAGAGAATGCTTTTATGGCTCTTTATTTTTCCATGAACCATGTAAATATGACTAGAAGGTTTGTGCCAACCCCACCCTCTATGACATGCCCCAGAGGGTTTCATTTTAGCTTTGTTCTCCAACAGGCTTGATGCTGGTACTTTCGGAACAATGGGAGTTGGTTTAGGATTTGCTATTGCAGCTGCCATGGTGGCTAAAGATAGACATCCCGGGCAACGGGTTATCTGTGTGGAAGGAGACAGTGCATTTGGGTTTTCTGGCATGGAGGTGGAAACCATCTGCAGGTAAAAAAAATCACCCTGAATCAGAGCATTTCATTCTCCAGAATATGAAAAATGACACACAAGACCCAGTCACCTAACAAATACTTAACCAGTGTTCACCAGGTGCCCTGTGCATAGCACTGTGATCTATCCTGAGGATTGCTAGTGCCAGTAATCCACAGTCTTTCTCTTCCAGAACACTATGTTTCTGGCTTCTTCACTGTGTGCTAAAAACCTGTAAAACTGTGGGGAGTGGTTTTGAGGTCACTGAGAAAAAAATATTGGGACTTGAAAGAAGCTTGTTTCCTGTGGGAAATAGCGAGTATAGTGGTGAAGAGCATGGCCTCTGCTAGGCGCGCTAGCTCATACCTATAATCCCAGCAGTTTGGGAGGCCAAGGCAAGCGGATCACTTTAGGTCAGGAGTTCAAGACCAGTGTGGCCAACATGGTGAAACCCTCTCTTTACTAAAAATCCAAAAAAATAAAAAAATAAAATTAGCCAGATGTGGTAATGTACGCCTGTAGTCCCTGCTACTTGGGAGGCTGAGGCAGGAGAATTGCTTGAACTGGGAGGCAGAGGTTCCATTGAGCTAAAATCCAGCCACTGCATTCCAGCTTGAGTGACAGAGCAAGACTCCATCTCAAAAACAAAAAACAAAAAACGGCAGCGTGGCTTGTGAGACAAATAACCTGGACTTAAATACTTGTTCTATCAAGTGAGAGCCATGTGATTTTTTAAGTTACTTAACTAAAGCCACATGATAGCTCACACTTGTAATCCCAGTACTTTGGGAGGTTGAGGTGGGCAAATCACCTGAGGTCAGGAGTTAGAAACCAGTCTGGCCAACATGGTGAAAACCATCTCTACTAAAAATACAAAAAATAGCCAGGTGTGGTGGCACACACCTGTAGTCTCAACTACTTGGGAGGCTGAGGCAGGAGAATCACTTGAACTCGGGAGCCATAGGTTGCAGTGAGCCAAGATCACACCACTACACTCCAGCCTGGGCAACAGAGTGAGAACCTGTCTCAAACAAAAAACAAAAACAAGTCACTTAACCAAGCCTGTCTCCTCTCTTCTAAAATAGGAATGGTATCCTTTAGGCAGAAATTCCTTGAAAAAAGAATGTAGGAATAGTAATAGTTCCTACCTTAGAAAGATGATTATGAGGAACGAATGAGATAATCCAAGCCATTTTTTAAATTGAGACAGGGTCTTGCTCTATCACCGAGGCTGGAGTGCAGTGGCACAGTTGCAGCTCACTGCAGCCTCAGTCACTCAAGTTCAAGCAATCCTCCCTTTTTAGCCTTCAGAGTAGCTGGGATCACAGGCACGCACCACCACGCCCAGCTAGTTTTTGGTATTTTTTTTGCAGACAGAATTTTGTCATGTTGGCCACACTGGTCTCAAACTCCTAAGCTCAAGCGATCCACCTGCCTTGGCCTCCCTAAGTGCTAGATTTATAGGTGTAAGCTACCGTGTTTGGCCCCAGCTGAATTCTGAGGTGATGCTCAGTGAACATGAGCCATTTATGAGAATTCATGGAGAAACTCATTAATTACAGATCCTATTATAGAAAGATGAAGGTTTTATTTTTCCAACTGTATTTAAACTGTAGTAAAACCATCCTGTTCTTAGCCAGGGCTCTTATCAGGGCTTTTGTGAATCATGCTTTGGGGCTGGCAAAGCTTTGATATATAAAATGTTCAAGATTTGGGAAGGATGCTCAAGTAAGTCCCTGATATAAAATGGAGTAATATTTGCAAACAACCTACACATATCCCCCCATATATTTGTAATGATCTCTAGATTACTTTAAAATCCTGAATATAATATAAATGCCATGTAAATAATTGATGTGCTGTATTGCTTAGGAAATAATGACAAGAACATATTCTGTGCATGTTGAGTACAGACCCATTTTTTCCCCAAATATTTTTGACTAATTGTTTGAATCCGTGGATGCAGAACTCAGATAATGAGGTCTGACTATATGTGTCTGTTAGAGTGTCTTTATTGACAACCAAGTGATATACACAAAAAAGATGACTTACGGGGAAGTCAGCCTTTTAGTGGAAATGATGATGCCTTTTGAGCATGGAGAGCAAATGAATACCACGATCCTGTTATTTAACAGTATGCAGCTTAGTTTTGTTTTTACCATTTGCCCTTGGAAATTATGTTAGAAAGTAAAACCTATGTTCTTTTCAGTAAAGAACATTTAATCAACCTTTTCTTTTTTGTCTTTGCTGTACTGTTTAGCACAATGTTAAATACGTCTTTTCTGTACTGATTAATGGTGATTACACCATGTCATGTGTTTCTGATTATGGGTGTGGTGGTTTGAGCACAGATTGTGTATGCTAGTCTCTTGTATATCTCCCATAGCATCTAGCAAGGACTGGGTGTCTGTGAGGAGCTCAGTAAATAGAAAGGTACCGTGCAAACACTGCTCCTAGGAACTAGCTTGAAGTGGTACTTTAGAGAATATTAAATAGGGAAGGTGTTCTTCATATACCATCTAGACTTATGAAAACCCAGATTCCGAAAAATTCAGTGATTTGTCTGAGATCCACAGCTAATTGCTAAAGGACTATGAACTCTTTTTTTTTTTTCTTTTTTTGAGACAGAATCTCTCTCTGTCACCCAGGCTGAAGTACAGTGGTACCATGTTGGCTCACTGCAACCTCTGTCTCCTGGGTTCAAGCATTTCTTCTGCCTCGGCTTCCCAAATAGCTGGGATTACAGGTGTCCACCACAACACCCCAACACCCTGCTAATTTTTGTCTTTTTTATTAGGGACGGGGTTTCACCATGTTGTCCAGGCTTGTCTCGAACTCCTGATGTCAGGTGATCCGCCTGCCTCAGCCCTTGAAGTGCTGGGATTACAGCCGTGAGCCACCTCGACCAGCTAATTTTTGTATTTTTAGTAGAATAGGGCTTTCACCATATTGGCCAGGCTGGTCTTGAACTCTTGACCTTGTGATCTACCTGCCTTGGCTTTCAGAGTGCTGGGATTATAGGCATGAGCCACTGTGCCCAGCCAGGACTATCAATTCTTAATCTTGCATTCTTTCTGCTTTTCTGTGATGTTTCTGTTAATGATTTGCTAGCCTGTCTTAGGACAATAAATGCTTAATTTTTAGTCTTCCTCTAATATTACAAAAAGCTTATGGAAAGCTATTCATTTTTAAGTTATAATTTCAACACAAAGAAAAGAAATTACTTTAGAATGAAGAATGATTTCCTTCATATTTTACTCTCACTTTAGGTACAATTTGCCAATCATACTCTTGGTAGTGAATAACAATGGAATTTACCAAGGTTTTGATATGGATGCTTGGAAAGAAACGTTAAAATTTCAAGATCCTACTGCAGTGTAAGTAACCAAGACCAATGTATATTTACTTTCTCTCACCTGTTTTCATCTCTTTTAAAAAAGTTCTATATTGGAATGAGTATTGCCTACATGGTATGAGTATTGTCTGTTTTGATTGTCGGCCCTTCTAAAGGGCAGGAATCCTGTCTTAGTTCCTCTTTGCACAAATATCCATAATTAGGCACTTCAACAAATGGTTTATAATCAGGGAGCCACTAAAGATTCAGAAAAGTGAGTGTGATGTCTGAGCCTTGATAATGAAAGGCTTATTGCAAAATGCTCCCAGTCCTACTACTCCTGTTACACCATGTAGAAATGTGGATGTTTACAGGTTATTTATGTTCCAGAGGTCTACCTTCCTTTTAACCACTTAGCTAAATCTTGATCATCTGATGGCAGAATCCAATTAAGAAGGTATTGTAGCTGGCCATGGAATGTGAGATACATGTGAATTTGTGAACCAGTCTTGGGGTGGAACATGATATGGGTGTTTCTGTTTATGCCTCACTAACTTTATTTGTTATTTTCTTGTTATTTGTTGTTTTGCAGTAATCTATTTTTTTCCCCGTTTTTCTTCTGGATTCATAATAGCTGATAGTGTAGCCTGTGCTGTCTAGTATAGTGGTCACTAGGCATGTTGCAACTGGTATGTCTTTCAGTTCAGCCTAAATTTTTTAATGAAGTATTTCAGAGAATGACTTTTTTTTTGTACGAGGTTTAAGATTTAAATTTCATTGACTCGTGACCTTGTTTTTTGTTTTTCAGGGTCCCTCCAATGTGTTTACTGCCAAATTCACATTATGAGCAAATCATGACTGCATTTGGAGGCAAGGGGTATTTTGTAGAAACACCAGAAGAACTCCAAAAATCCCTGAGACAGAGCCTAGCGGACACATCTAAACCCTCTCTTATCAACATCATGATTGAGCCACAAGCTACACGGAAGGCCCAGGTAAATACAATTGCTAAGCAGAAAGCAAGAAATGCATTTGCCTCCCTTACCCCTATCCAAAATGTGTCTACTAAACAGAACACCTGTATCACTCACAGAGGTCTTTCTAAACCATTTCTGAGTTTGGCAATATCATTTGTTCATTCAGTGAATATTGAGATACGTGTTAGGTGCTATGAATAGCATGGTGAGCCAAACCAGGCTCAGTCCTCACCTTCATGGAGCTTTTATAGTCTGGTAGGAAAGAGGGACAGTCTGGTAATCTCACAACTGAACATACCGTGACAGTGAAGCAATGGCTTGGAAGGAAAGGAACCCAGGTCTAAGCAAACATACCACAAAGGAATCCAATTTATGTTCGGGTTCCAGGGAAGGTTTCTCAGAGGCAGTAATTCTTAAACTGAGATCAGAAGGATAAACAGAGACTAACTCAGCAAAGGGAAGAGGGGAGAGGTGTGCAAAGGCCCTGTAGCAAGAGGAAAGAGTAAGCATGGCAAGTCTGAGGAAGTGACTTCCAGCCAAACAGGCCAGAAGACAGTGGGAGATGCAACTGTAATATAAGGATAGGCACAGGTACATTGAAAATTAGTTACTTTGACTAAAGTGAAACTTCAGTATTGATTGACAAAGTTCAGAGCATGAGCCTTTCCTATCCCAGATTAAGTTGCATTTCATACTTAATTTTGTACTGCCATCCTGGTACTGCCACTTGTCTCCTCTTATAATCTGTCTTCCATGTAAACACTTTGCGTATCAGCCACTCATTCCAGAGATATTTTTTTCAAGTCCTTTCTGTATTGGTTCTTATACATATGAGATCTCTTTCTTTTGTGAACAAAGCAGTGGATGAATGGGCAAACAGACACCTGGACAATCAATGAAATATAAATTAACTAATTTATACACTAAAATATATAGAATTTTACTGAAATTCTGTTTGTATAAAAACAGATTTAAGAGACTTTGGCATTTACCTCCTAGCAGAGAGAGGAGATACTCAAGAAGCCTAGTGATGAGGAAGATGAATGCAGAAATACGAGGCCAGTAAGCTGAAGGGCAGGGGGCATTAGCAGGGATTTCTGTGGAGCAAGCAGGCGGACTGTTTGAAGGGAGGGTCAGCAACTTTCAGAATCTATCTGTACTCTTATGGGCTTGTGGATTGTCTTTTCTTAAATTCTATTTGGTAAAATGATTTCTGCCAGTCAGACACTCAATAGACAGGTTTTTTCATCTCATGCCACTTTATGGATTTATAACAGTTTATACTTTCCAGTAACTGGGATGTTAGTTTGGTAACCAAAAACACCCTCCTCCTGGCATCAGGCCATCAAAGCACTAGGGAAACTAAAGCCATTATAAGAAGCCTGATGAATACATATAATCTTGGTGGCTGGGCATAGCAGTTCATGATTGTAATCCCAGCACTTTGGGAAGCAGAGGTGGGTGGATCACTTGAGGCTGAGAGTTTGAGACCAGCCTGGCCAACATGGTGAAACCCTGTCTCTATTAAAAATACAAAAATTAGCTGGGTGCGGTGGTGCATGTCTGTAATCTCAGCCACTCAGGAGGCTGAGGTCCAAGAATTGCTTGAACCCAGGAGGTGGAGGTTGCAGTGGGCTGAGATTGCACCACTGCACTCCAACCTGCATGACAGAGTGAGACTCTCTCTCAAAATAATAATCATCATCATCTTGAGACCTATATTAATCACAGAAAATCTCTAACACATTTTGTCATCTCTGCTAGTGAGTTCACACTTCTATTGATTTGCTTCCAATGATCTGTTCTATAATTTCTCTATGAATTTTGTTTGGATATTGCTGGAGAAATTTAAGTTATCTTCCTCTTTCACAATTCTATGAGGATTATCTTTATATTTCTTGTATTTAGCACTTGAAATTATTTATCTTCATTCCAGTGGAATTTACATACATTATACTTTCCAAACTTGATTTTTGTCTGTCCATCTGCCATTTGTCATTGATTCTCAGTGTAGGCTGGCCACTTCCTGCCTCCATATGGGAGTGTGTAAATCTGTGCCTGTGTCCAGGCCATATGTGTAGGCTGGTGTTAGTTCTGGAAAAGGCTTCCGTTCCCATTTCTTCCTACTCATGTTCTCAGACCCAGGAGCTCAGCTCTCTGTGGGCCTCTTTCATCTCCCTTCTCCTTCTGAGTGTACTTCTGGTCCTTTTAGTGTACTTCTGGTTTTTATGCTCTGATTACTGTTAATGGAAGAGGACCCAGAATGCCATTTTAGGTTGTTTTGTAGGACACAGCAGGAATATTCACTAATAGGTTTTTAGGTCCTTTTTGAGAAAAGCACCAGAACAAAGACAAACCTCATTTTGCCACCATTGTGTAGGGCTTTTAGGTTTTAGAACGAATGAAACAATGAGGATATAATTTAAGACAATTATTTCTTTTGACTGAATGTTTGTTGTCTTCTTTTTCTAGGATTTTCATTGGCTGACCCGCTCTAATATGTAAATAAAGATGCCAGTTGGTCTTGAGTTTTCTCTTTCTTGCAAGATGAAATTTTATTTTCCACAGCAAAATTACTCTACTGTTAAAATTGTATAAAATAAAATAAAAATTTTAAAATGACATTTTACAGTAAAGGAATTGATTAAAAACAGAAAAATTTAGAAAAAGTAACAGAGAAAGTTATTCTGCCACAAAAATAACTACTTATGGATGAATGGAGAGCTTTATTAAATAATAGCATTGTAACTGCCTGATCAATATTCTCTTACTGCTGTAGCTTGGATGTTTGTTCCCCAAAACCTCATTTAGAAATCTGACCCCTGATGGTGGAGGTAGGGCCTAATGGGAGGTGTTTGGGACATGGGGGTGGCTCCCTCATGAATGGTTTGGTGAGTTCTCAGGGTAATGAGCTCTCCTTCTATTAGTTACCACTAGAGCTGGTTGTTAAAAGGGACCTAGCTTCCCCGCCTCTCTCCTGCTTCCTCTTTCTCCATGTGGACTCTGCACACACTGGCTCCCCTTCACTTCTGCCATGAGTGGGGCAGCCTGAGCCCTCACCAGATGCCCAGTCTGGAACCTTCCAGCTATCAAAACTGTGAGCTAAATAAACCTCTTTTTAAAACAAGTTACTTAGCTTTAGTCAATATTCCTTTGTAGCAATACTAAACAGACTAAGGCAGTTACCTATCTTTTAAAAACTAAAAAAAAAGCTGTAAGAATAATCTAATATAGAGACATGTTCAGTTAGTTGTTGAGATATGTAGCCTTTTTCTACTTCCTTTTTTTTTTGGAGACAAGAGTCTTGCTTTAGCCTCCTGGCTGGAGTGTACAGTGGTGCCATTGTAGCTCACTGCAACTTCTGCCTCCTGCGTTCAAGTGATTCTCATGCCTTAGCCTCTTGAGTAGCTGGGACTACAGGTGCCCACCACCACACCTGGCCAATTTTTATATTTTTAGTCGAGACGGGGTTTCGCCCTGTTGGTCAGGCTGGTCTCTTTTGTTTTTTTTGAGACTGAGTTTTGCTCTTGTTACCCAGACTGGAGCACAATGGCGCGATCTTGGCTGACTGCAACCTCCACCTTCTGGGTTCAAGCAATTCTCCTGCCTCAGCCTCCCGAGTAGCTGGGACTACAGGCGCGCACACCATGCCCAGCTAATTTTTTATTTTTAGTAGAAACGGGGTCTCACCTTGTTGACCAGGATGGTCTCGATCTCTTGACCTCACGATCCACCCGCCTCGGCCTCCCAAAGTGCTGGGATCATAGGCGTGAGCCACCGCGCCCGGCCAAGTCAGACTGGTCTCAAACTCCTGACCTCAGGCCTGGGATTACAGGCGTGAGCCACTGTGCCTGGTCCGTCCTATTTTATTTTTTGACCACTCAATACCTAAGTGTCCCCAGTATTTGGTAGGGCTTGTCCTATACTTTATGAGTTGGGTTTTTCTTTTTTTTCCTGGAAAGAATTTACTGAGCCAAAGGTAAAGTTACACCACACCCAAACTAATAATTTCAGGGTATATTTGGACTAGTGACTTAAATTCATGCTACCACATTGAGACCAACAGAGTTAACCTTATTATATAAAGAACTCAGGCCGGGTGCAGTGGTTGGCGCCTGAAATCCCAGCACTTTGCGGGGATCGAGGTGGGTGGATCATTTGAGGTCAGCAGTTCAGGACCAGCCTGGCCAAACATGGTGAAACCCCATCTCTACTAAAAATGCAAAAGTTAGCCGGGCATGGTGGCACATTCCTGTAATCCCAGCTACTCAGGAAGCTGAGGCATGAGAATTGCTTGAACCCGGGAGGCAGAGGTTGCAATGAGCTGAGATCACGCTGTTACTCTCTAGCCTGGGCAACAGACTTAGCATGACTCCATCTGAAAATAAATAAATAACTCATATATAAGAAAAATATTAAAGTACCAATAGAAAAATGGGCAAAGGGCATGAATGTATAATTCACAGAAAAAATATAAATGCCCAATGAAAGTATGAATATAAATAAATATGAATATGTTAGTTATACTGGAAATTTTTTTTCCTGGCCTATCCATTTGGCAAAGAACTTTCTAAATTATTCTGAATTTTGGCGAAGTGGAAGTAAAAATGGAGACTCCCATGTTGCTGATGGAAGTTGAAATTGGTACAATTATGTAGAGTAATTCTAGCATTGCTTGTATTTGGAACCTTGAAAATGTTTATACTCCATAAGTTTTGACCCCATGAGCTTTCCTTTTTTTTTTTTTTTTTTTTTTTAATCAAGACAGCTCTGTTGCTCAGGCTCTAGTACAGTGACATGATCACAGCTCACTGCATCCTTGACTTCCTGGGCTCAAGTGATCCTCCCACCTCAGTCTCCCAAGTAGCTAGGACTACAAGTACATGCCACCATGCCTGCCTAATTTTTTATTTTGTTTTTGTAGACACAGGGTCTCACTAGGTTGCCTAGATTTGTCTCAAATTCATGGACTCGCGCTGTCCTCTTGCTTCTGCCTCCCAGAGTGCTGGGAGTACGGGCATGAGCCACTGTGCCAGGCCCCAGTGAGCTTATTTAGGGAATATATCCTAATGAAATAATAAAATATTTGGTCAGATATTTATATAAAAGGCCATTTAGCATAGTTTTATTTAGAAACAGCCCTGGGCCAGGTGCAGTGGCTCACGCCTGTAATCCCAGCACTTTGGGAGGCCGAGGCAGGTGGATCACGAGGTCAAGAGATCGAGACCATCCTGGTCAACAGGGTGAAACCCGTCTCTACTAAAAATACAAAAAATTAGCTGGGCATGGTGGTGCGTGCCTGTAATCCCAGCTACTCAGGAGGCTGAGGCAGGAGAGTTGCCTGAACCCAGGAGGTGGAGGTTGTAGTGAGCCGAGATCATGCCATTGCACTCCAGCCTGGGTAACGAGTGAAACTCCGTCTCAAAAAAAAAAAAGGAGTATGGCTGCGGCACTTCGTCCTTCCAGTGGAGTTCTCCTGCAGGCCCTGCAGATTTCGGTGTATCCTGGAGTGGGAGGCTCCGGCTCTGCAGATACCTACTTACAGATAACATTGTGAAACTAAAAGAATTTCAGCATAAGAAAGTGGCCATTGCATGTAATCTTCCTGGCACTAAAGAAACCTATTTTAGAAACTTGGAAGAGAAACTGAGCCAGAACAAGCTCATCTTGAAGGAGGAGTTGATAACCTTACTTCATTTGTGTGAGTCCCGGGACCATGTGGAGCTGGCTAAAAATGTCATTTACAGGTACCATGCAGAGAACAGAAATATCACTCGGGGGGAGTATAAGTTCGGACCACTTTTCATGAGGCTGTGTTACGAGTTGGATCTTGAGGAATCTGCAGTGGAGCTCATGAAAGACCAGGTGCTTTGGAAGTCTTGATAGAGATGAAAAACCAAGATGTGAAGTTCACTGTAGATACCTATGTTCTTGCTTTTGCAATTTGCTATAAACTGAATAGCCCTGAGTCTTTTAAAATCTGTACTACATTAAGAGAAGAAGCCCTACTCAAAGGAGAAATTCTCTCCAGGAGAGCATCCTGTTTCGCTGTGGCATTAGCTCTGAATCAGAATGAGGTAGCACAAGCTATGTCCATTTTTTCTCAAATCATGAATTCAGAAAGCATAACCTGCACTAATTTAAATATTATACTCCATATCCAGTTAAATATGTTGGAAAACGTGATAGAGATACTAAAAAATGCTACAGAAGGAAATTTATCAAAATATGTGAAGAGACAGGTGTTCTCAGAGGAAGTGCTGGCCAAAGTGAGGGAAAAAGTGAAGGATGTGCCTGCCCTTGTGGCCAAATTTGATGAGCTCTATGGGAAACTGCACGTCAGTGGCCAAGTCACCACTTATTCTTTGGATGCTGTGCTCTGCCACATCCCTGGGGGCAGGAAATCCCACATGTTTCTATTAAACAAGAGAATGGTCAGCCGTCACACCTTCCAGCCACTCGGCCAGTCCCTGTTTGCTAAGTAATCCTGGTTTCAGTCCATCTATGGATCTGAAGGGCCTGCTTCTAGTGTTATTGCCTTTCCTAAGAAGCCAGGCATTGCACTTCAGCAGACACTGTGCTGACACTTGGTCTTCTGAAATTCCCAAGTTCACTGAATGGCGGCATGCCAATCTCTGAGAAGTTATGTTGCACCACTGTGAAGGTCTAGATGCAAGCTTGTCTCCCTCAGAAAGGTGCTTCCCTTGTGCACTGCTGAGGATTCTTGAAGGAACATGGACAGTCTCTAATCCAGCTTCCGGCACCAGAGTGAAACCCAGTAAGCACCATCAGGAATGAATTTCACTATAAGTGTGGTCAACTCTGATTTTCAAGGGAGTAGTTACTTGCAAATTACATCCTTGCTGGATTCAGGAGGTCTGAAACCCTATTCTACCATGTTAGAAAACAGCCCAGGATTTTCTCATTGCTCTGCCATCATATATGTCTATGACTTGAGCCCTCATTTTTCCATCTGCAAAACAATAATGCCTATGTGTATTTGCATACAGATTTGAAATCTTCATTCAAGTTTCAGTAGGATCAGATTTTCTCAAAAATAAATAAGGTTCAGAAGCAGACTTGTTGGGATTGTGATGGGTCTGTCTTCTCAGCAGCACAAACAAAACCAGAATTTAGCCTTTAGAACTGCTAAGTAAGCTAAATTTAAATGACTGTTTTGATCACGGGCAAGCCATGTGCTTTTCAAAATAAGTGCCACTAAAAGCCACATAATGCTTAGGTTACTATGTGGATAATAAATTGTCCTACAGTTTAAAAAAAAAAAAAAAGAAACAACCCCAATGTTTAATAGTAGGACATTGGTTACATAAATGATGGTGTATCATCAGAAAATAAAAATTGTGTTATTTGAGAAATAATCACAATACAACATGTGAAAAAGGCAAGCTACAAAATGAAACGGAGTGAAGTAAGGAAATACCCATACTTACGCATACACGCTTACAGAAAAGAGATTGGCACAAATAAACTAAAATTGTAATATAACTTGGTAGATGGAATTGTAGGCAGTTTTTCTTTAATATTTTCCTTTATAGCATTTTAAAAATAATTATGTAATTTTTATTATGAGAAGCAGGCATTGTTTTAAAAGAGTATTTGAAATGGAAAAGCATCACTTATTTTCAGGGTCATTTATGTTTTTTTTCTGCAATTTTATATAAATTTAAGCCTAGCACTTTATATCAAAATTCAGCTTGTTTGCACCACGCAAATCAGACTTATCTACACGGGCTAGTTTGGGCACAAGTGACCACCACAAAGTGGCAGACTTTAGTTTTAAGGTGAACCCAGAAGATACAGTGGTTTGGCCTCTCACAGGCCCCTGGAAGCAGCCCCATTTCGCAGATACTCATGTATACATTAGAGAGCCTGGCCTGCACAGGAGGAAGAGACCATGAAAAGGAGCATTCAGACTGGATAGCTCATGTAACCTCATCAGCCTCCCACTCTGCCTCTGGGCACATGTCTGGCAGCCAAATGCAATGTAAGATTTTGCCATTAGGTGGTGTAGAGGGCTTGATTAATATTTGTAAATTGAACTATGTAAATCTGTTACTAAATACTAGATAAAATTTGGGGCAGGGGCCAGGTGTGGTGGCTTACACCTGAAATCCTAGCACTTTGGGAGGCTGAGGTGGGTGGGTCAAGAGGTCAACCTGTCTCTGCTAAAAATACAAAAATTAGCTGGGCATGGTGGCACGCGCCCATAGTCCCAGCTACTCAGGAGCCTGAGGCAGGAGAACTGCTTGAATCCAGGAGGTGGAGGTTGCAGTGAGCCGAGATTGTGCCACTGCACTCCAGCCTGGCGACAGAGCAAGACTCTGTCTCAAAAAAAATAAAGAGGGTAGGGGCATGCCCCTTTCCTAATCATATTATCTTAGGGGGGAAAAAAAAAATGCTGAAAGGTTATTAGACTGTCCAGCAGAGGTCAGTCTAAATGTTTAAAGACTGTATTAGTCCAGGGACACTAATTGACAGAATCCATTGACAGCTTATTTAGTAAAAATGATCTTGAAATTAATTCCCTTATAGAAGACTTTTTTTAGACGGATAGAATATTGAAAATACCCCTCTAAAATGAATTTGTTGGTTGATAGATATTTCATAGAATAATTTGCAGCCCCAAGTTTAATAATGAACTTCTTATATGATTCTAGTATATGTAATAATAATACCCAATTGCCTCATAAAAACTGAGCTTTGAAAGATTATGGCAGTTTTCTTAATTTAGGAAAACCCAGAATCCAGGGTTGAGGAGATCAATGGGAAAATAGTTTTATTATTATTATTTTTGAGACAGGATATTGCTGTTGCCCAGGCTGGAGTACAGTGACACAGTCATAGCTTACTGAAGACTTGAACTCCTGAGCTCAAGTAATTCTCCACCTCACCCTCCCAAGTAGCTAGAACTACAGGTACATGCCACCACACCTGGTTAATTTGAAAATTTTTTGTAGAGATGAGTCTCACACTGTTGCTGAGGCTACTCTCAAACTCCTGGGCTCACGTGGTCCTCCCACTTCAACCTCCCAAAGTGAAATGGCTTTTTAGGTTACTTTCTCTACTAATATTCTTTCCAAAAGTCTTTCATATTTCATGGGATTATTTGGGGATTCAGAAAGCCACCCAGAAGCTCCTAGCCCAATGCCCCTGGCATAGAAAAGGCACTCAGTAAGTACCACTGCCTTTTTGGAAAGTGAGAATTTAGAGAACACCAACTGGAATCCCTGCTTAGCAGTGAATGTAAAAGTAGACGTAGTGGTTTCCCTTTTCTCAAGTAAGTGGGTCTTACTTCAGGTAACTTAGACATTTTCTGGAAATCAGGGGTTGTGTGTTTTCACGTCTTTATATAACCATAGTGCTCTGTAAGAGTTCACTCACTACTAATTGAATGGGAACTCATGATAGTTAAAAACAGCTCAGTGGAGATGTTCTACCGTTATTTCATACATGCTATTTTGAAGTAGTTCAGCTTGTTTTGTGAAGTGAGTATATTTGCCATAGGGAAAAAAGTCTCAAATCCATTGAAAGAAAATGATAGGACTTTTGGACACTGAAGGAAAAAGAAAAGGAAAAGGAAAATGATATTGAATCTAAAAACATTCTGGTTCCTTTATTATTTTCAAGACACTTAGCTAGGCAGTGGGGAAGCAGTGCATGCCAATGAAGAAGCAGCCTGTGACTCTGAAATAATGCGAATGTAAAGGGATGACAGTAGAATGCCATCTGAATTTATTAAGAAAGTAGGAAACCAGTTACATTCCAGATGGGAATTGTGACTGAGAAACCCTGAGAAAACTGACTACTGACTATTATGGAGGGTAAAATACAGAAAAAGTGTGAATTACCTGGTGTTTTCTGGTTGCATTTGTTGCTGCTAATCTGAATAAATGGAATAATGTGGAAAGAAGAAATTGACAATCCTATCAATTTTACTCTTGGAAGAGGTGGACATAGAAGTGTATGCCTTGGATTCTGATCTGACTGGTAGGATTGCCTGCACCTCTGGCTTTCACTAGATTATCTTGAATCTTCCCTCCCTTCCAGGGCCCTCTCTTTCAGAAGAGGGCTAGCTGGCCAGTGAACCCATGACACATTCAGGTTGTATAATGACTCATCCAATTAGGGAGCTGTGAAAGGAACACACAGAAACTCCTGGATTTTGTTTCGAAGTTTAAAGGGACCACTTTAAATTTTGATTCAGGGTCTAGAAATACCTAAATACCTGCAGAGATGGTGAGATCCATGATTTTCCTTTTTTTTTGAGATGGAGTCTCGCTCTGTCGCCAGGCTGGAGCTCGATATCGGCTCACTGCGACTTCTGCCTCCCAGGTTCAAGCAGTTCTCCTGCCTTAACCTCCCGAGTAGCTGGGACTACAGGCACATACCACCACACCTAGCTAATTTTTGTGTTTTCAGTAGAGACCGTGTTTCATCATGTTTGCCAGGTTGGTCTTGATCTCTTGACCTTGTGATCCATCTGCCTTGACCTCCCGAAGTGTTGGGATTACAGGCATGAGCCACCGCGCCTGGCCCCATGATTTTCCTTCTATCCAGTGGTTGCTGGAGCCTGCTCTGTGGAGTGGCTAATCTATAGCCATGTTATGTTGTTCACTCCCACAGCTCACTTCTGGTCCCTCCATATTTCTAGGAATTGCCTCCCCAGTGCATGGTCAAGTTGGGCTCAAGAAGTCAGACCTGGTTTCACTTCAGCCCCAGCTTTGCTTGTGCTGTTTCTGCTGTGATACTGTGTACACAGCCACCCATTTTTGCCATGCGGAATTGGCTAATGTTTCAAGGCCCAGCTCAACAGTCCCCTCTTCCATAAAGCCTTCCTTTCTCTGGATGGTCCTGCAGCACCTGGGGTGCACCCCGTCACAAATTCACAGTGTTTATGGTGAGTTACATTCCCATCTCCCTCACCATCTTGTCTTGGGAAGGAAGTAATTCAGGAAGGGTTTGTGTCACAAAAGCTCTAGCAGACAATTTTAAACAAGGATGCAGGGTAGATAGATGAGCTACCAAGGATCAGAAGCCAACCCTGAAGCCTGGGTGTTAAGTAAGCTCAACGGTTTTTAGAGCAATGCTGGGGATGGTGGCTGGTGGGCGTGAGGCCCTGAAATGACTGACGTTTTATTTCCATCCTGGCAAAATGAAGGTCAAAATGAAAATTAGTATTCCTGAAAATATTTCTTTCATACTGTTGCTGAGATTTATACCACTACGTTCATCAAACCATTTAATGGTTCATAGTGCCATCCCTGCCTCCCCACCCTCCATCAGCCACTCTGTCCATCCCCTCTCCCCACCACCCTACATTACCCTTGTGTTTCAGAATTTTTATGGTTTTCTTTTTTTTTTTTTTTTTTTGAGGTGGAGTCTTTCTCTGTCGCCCAGGCTGGAGTGCAGTGGCATGATCTCAATTCACTGCAACCTCCTCCTCCTGGGTTCAAGCGATTCTCCTGCCTCAGTCTCCCTAGTAGCTGAGATTACAGGTGCCCACGGTGACACCCAGCTAATTTTTGTATTTTTAGTATAGATGGGGTTTCATCATGTTGGTCAGGCCAGTCTTGAACTCCTGACCTCAGTGATTCACCCACCTTGCCCTCCCAAAGTGGTGGAAATACAGGCATGAGCCACCCTGCCCAGCAGTTGTTTTCACTTGACTATTTTTCCATGTTAAATTTAGTAGCAAAAAAATCTGGTATTTTACTTAGAGTGTGTTTTAAAATAGAGTTTCTTCACAGAAAATCTTAGCATTCACTAAGGCCAACATATCAGGAGACTATTGCCATTGAAAAAATAATTACTCAGAATTCCCAAGAAGAGGTGTCAGGTAGAAAGAGAATGAGAACTAGTGGGCTAAAGCCCTATTGTGAGGAAGAAAAAAGTGAGGCAGGGTAAACAAGTTTAGGATTGATTTGTTCGAACAATGTCGATGAGCTCAGGAATGGTGCAGAGGTTGTCCCTAGCTGTCTGGATGTGGGCCTGGGATGATTTGGGCAGTTGGATTGTCTCCCACACTGTGAGAGCACCATAAAGAAGGCCATGAAGAGGG